TTTCCAGTTTTTTCTTAGGCACAGAGTCCCTGGGTTATTTTGAGCCAGAAAATAAAAGGGTGATTTCTCTTCCCCCAGTTTTAGCCCAGGCAGCGAAACTTTTATTTCTCAGGAAAAGGACTAGATAAAACTATTTCCAAATAGTGGGGTGTATTTCACACTCCAGAGAATCCTTGGGGCCTCTCTCTCAATTAACAGCTGCCTGAAGGAGACAAGTCCTGCTTGTCTTGACATGTTTGCTTCCAGATGTGCTGATCTTTGTAGCCCATTGGCTTTGGGCTAGGTTCTGCCTTCACACCCATCGTCTGCTACTGCCTGTTCCAGTCCAGCTAGATTCTTGCCACACAAGCTTCTAGTCCTCTTTGCTAACAATAAGCTAACATTTCCGGGTTGGATTCCATCTGAGCAGTTCCAGAATACAGGCAGTCCTTGACTTGGCACAGAAAAATGGCACAGAAAAAAGTGACTTATGAGCATTTTTCACACAACCGTTGCAGTCGTGATCAAAATTCAGATGCTTGGCAGCTAATTCACATTTATGACGGTTGAAGTCATGTGATCCCCTTTTGCAACCTTCTGACAAGTGAAGTCAATGGAAAAGCCAGATTCATTTAACAACCGTGATACTAATTTAACAACTGCAGTGATTCACTTACCAACCGTGGTAAGAAAGGTCGTAAAATGGAGCAAAACTCACTTAACAAATGTCTCACTTAGCAACAAACATTTTGGGCTCAATTGTGGTTGTAAGTCAAGGATTACCTGTACTTATTAGCTGAGCATGCTTGCAGTTGGCGTTCTGACACATTTGGAAAACATTCATTTTGGAGAAGGATCTACAGGTGTTCTTGGCTGGAATTCTGCTCTTGAATAACAAGACAATGTGGCAGAAACATTTCTGAAGATAATGATTAAAGGAATACAATAGTTAATTGTCTTAGAGAGAGATCCAGTAGCACACATAGTTCTTCCTTCCTTAAGCCAACTTTCTGACCAGGTTCCCGTATCACAATAAGTCACGAGAGCAATAATGGGAGAATTGGGGGCTGCAGCACATCCTTACCTTAGGGCAGACATGTCAAACACAAGGCTCAGGGGCCGGACGCGGCCCGCACAATGGTTTCATGTGGCCCGCGAAGCCATCCTGGAAACAGTGAGGGAACGGCCCCCACGGCCTTGGCCCTGTAAAATTTTGTGGTGGCCATCTATGCTGAAACACATTCAGTCTTAGCTCCACAAGGCCGTCTAGAAAAAGTGAGGAACCAGCCCCTGCTGTGTGGGCCCTGCCCCCTGGGTGCATGCTGGGAAGGTGTCGCCCTTTGTGAGGAATGAAGAAATGGACCATGCCTTGGCATTTGCCCCGGTCCCACCCCCTTCTGCCAGAACCCCTCAGATCTGTCCCACTCCTGCTCAAGCCCCCACAGGCACCCTTGATGCGAACGATGTAGAGCTGGCCATGCCCACCCAGTAGGCCACACCCACTCCATCCACACCCACCCAGTAGGCCCCCCAGCCCCCCCCCTGAGGGCAACCGCAATGCTGATGGGGCCCTCAGTGAAATTGAGTTTGACACCCCTGCCTTAGGGATACTGTGATGTTACTGGAAAACTCATTTACTTATTTAAATCAAATTTATGTGGCTGTCCATCTCACGAAAAGTAACTAAGCAAAACAGTAAATAAATTAAATTTTTAGATTTAAAATTTAAATTAAAAAAAAAACAGATTTCAGCCATTCTAAAAATCTCTAAAAAGCTATAGGCATTTAGAGCTTATCTTCTTTTGGAGTTAAGATGGGCAGCTACAGAAATCAATCAATCAAACAAACAAATAAATAAAATTATGCCTTTTTCATTATAGCCAGCCATGAATTTTCTGCACAGGTATGTATGGATCCTGAACCCACCCCCGCTATCACTTATAGGCCATGCTTCAAATTCTGGGAAATGAAGTTTCTTCACATCTCACCAGGGAAGGTTTTGTTTCCTGCACATGATATCTGATGCAAGGCAAACCAAATTCTGGTTTTTGCTCCTGCTGCCAATTTTGGACCTTTTATAGCTTGTTAGTGGACAGCGGGGAATATAGATCAATGGAGTCAGTCTAGGCTGAAAAAAGCCAAAACTACTGGGAAATCCATCATTGAGTTGTTGCCATAGAAATGTCTAGCTTCATCATTCCCACCGCCTCCCCCTCCCCATTTCTCCATCTTTTCAGCGGAGATTTCCCAATAGTAAGTATACGTAAGAAAGCCCTTATTGGTGACGTCTGGCTGGTGCTATCTTGCAACAGGATAAAAGGGACCCTTTTGTGCAAGCTTGTGTGTGTGTGTGTGTGTGTGTGTGTGTGTGTATTATCTGCATATCAAGATGAACCAGAGAGAAAGAAAACCTGAGTCTCTTGAAGAGGGGCTGGTTTATAGGTCTGATACGACATTTAGCAAGAACTGACTAGCACTGCAAGAAGAATGCACTAAATAAAAGAAAAAAGAGCACTTTATTTTTCTTGATGATGCATTGACGAAGTAAAGCATCGGTACGTATAATGGGTTATTAAATTATTCTGGCTTTTGTATGTATTTCTTTAGAACATCTTTGCCTTTTTATTTTTGGAATGGCAGATCAATGGACTTCCAACTGTGATACATAGACTTCTAGGGCTGCAGTTGTAAATTAAGCCCAGCTTGAGGTGGTAAATACTTCACCTATCAATTTTTTTTTTGCCTCTGTGGCAGCTAAATGCACAGGCACAATACTTTTTGCAGAGGAGAGGATTGGCAGCCCTATGAAGAAAGAGCTAAACTTAACCAAGGCACAGTTTGGGGGTATGAAAGAGGAAAGGCAGACTGTGTAATCCATGGATGTCCAACCTTTTGGCTTGCCTGGGCCACTTTCATTGAAGAGGAATTGTCCTGGGTTGCATTATAAAATATATAATATAGCTAATGTATCTAAATAATGAACTTCCTTTATTTTTTTATATTTTTCATTATAACATTGTGGGGGGCTGCATAAGTAGCTGTCCAGGGCTGCCAGTTGGACATGTCTGATATAATCTAAATTGTTTTCCACCAAGCTTTATATTTTTCCTGCCTCCTTACGTCAGGCCTTACTCCTGCACTGAAATGTTTCTGCTACTATGTAATCAAAGTGTTTATAGATCCTTTCCAGCAAAGTGAGAAACTGATATTTCCCTTCTGAGTCCAGCCTGTCAAAATATGCCCTAATACTCAGATTGCCATGGGGTAATGGGTGGCCCCCAGAACTCCTTCTGAACATGTATTAAAAAAATAAGCATGAATAGAAATGTATTTTTACCGATGTGCTTGCATAAGTTTGTCTGAACATTTTATCGGTAGATTTGCATTGTTCATTCAGAATTTCATGTTGCACTGTTTAATATTGATGGGGTTTCCTATCATGCTAAGAATATAGATTCTGGCTTGTTCAGTATCAGTTTCCCATTTGACTAGGTAGGTATCCAGCCATGCGTCTTCAAATTTTCTTGCCTGCAATATCCATCATCCTGAGCCAGGATGAATATTCTTGTCACTAGCTGGACATAATTGTATAGGAAGTCGTTGACTTACAACCATTCGTTTAGTGACTGTTTGAAATTATAACAGCGCTGAAAAAAGTGACTTATAAGTTATAAACACTTATAAGTGTCTATGACCATTGCAGCTCGGATGCTTGGCAACTGACTCATATTTATGACGGTTCAGTGTCCCAGAGTCATGGGATCACCTTTTGCAACCTGACAGGCAAAGTCAGTGGGAAAGCCACTTAACAGCCATGTTACTAACCTAACAGCTGCAGTAATTCACTTAACAACTATAGCAAGAAAAGTCATAAAATGGGGCAAATCTCACTTAACAATTCACTTAGCAACATAAATTTTGGGCTCACTTGTGGCTGTAAGTCGAGGACTACCAGTAGCCTAACCTAATGAGAGGGTGGGAAAAGATTTTTCATTGGGAAAAAAATCTTTCCCTGTTATTTTCTCTGACATTTGGTCTTCTGAAACACTGTCTCTGAACATGAAAGCTCTGGTGGCTTTGTAAGGTAGAGTAGCAATTGATAGCCCTAAGATAAGCCCTGCTGGATCAGAAGAGGGTGGTGCTCCTAATCCAGCATCCCATTCCAACCTCTTAATGTGAGGGAAACTGCACCTGGAGGAGCAGTGGGGGGAGTTTTGGCAACCCAGAGCTTCCCCAGAAACAAGCCAGCATTCAGAGCCTGAGCAGTCCTAAGCTGGATGGGAGAAAGAAGAAGAGGTTCAGGGTAGTCACATCTTAGAATCTCTCGGGATATATCTAGTACAGTGATGGTGAACCTTTTAGAGACCGAGTGCCCAAACTGCAACCCGAAACCCATTTATTTATTGCAAAGTGCCAGGCCCACATCAGCATTGTGGTGCCCTCAGGGGGGATGGGGGGCGTGGCCCACTGGTGGGCATAGCTGCGGTGGTCACAGCTGCGGTGGTCACGGCAGACTGGGTGGGCGTGCTGGGGTGTGTGGGCCGGGACCAGGGTGGTAGGGACCAGTCCCTCGCCATCTCCGGGGCATCCCCAGGGAGCCAATGCCACTCACTCACTTCCTGCCCCGTCGCTTCCAAATGCCACATGCTCGCTATTCCGGCGAACTTTGCTGGGGCAACGGCGTGCGTGCCCACAGAGAGGGCTCTGAGTGCTGCCTCTGGTACATGTGCCATAGGTTCGCTACCACTGATCCAGTAAGTTAGAAAGTTATAGTTTTAGTTTGGCAAGATTCTGTTCACTAGATGTAAGCAAATAAAGGACTGCACTTGATTGGATTTTGCTGTGTCTTCTCCGGGCTTGGTCCTGACATTCCTACGATTCAGAGGAGAAGAAAGGCGGGTGTCTCACAGGAGAGAAAAGAGAGGGCATCCAAGTCTCCTTTCAATGCATCTCAGCTCAATTAAAAGATGCCGGTTCCAAAAGCACTCCATGATTCACCATCTGTACTTCTCTCTTTACAGACAAGCTGTTTGGGAAACGTCTGCTGCAGGCTGGGCGTTACATCATGTCCAATAAATCGTGGATGAAAACGGTCCCCACAGAAAACTGTGATGTGCTGATGACTCTGGCAGGTGTGTGGGGTCAGGGAGGTGGTTGCCGTTGATTCTCTCCAAATGTAATTAGAATTGTGATTTTAATTTTCCTCTCTCTCTGCGACTTCTCCCAAAGAACTTCTGCAGTTTGACATTCTGAACCAGTCTAGTTGTGATTGCTGAAATAGAGTTGCTTGTAGATTGTGGTGGCTTCCAGGTGCTGGGCCTTCTCAGGATTCACAGTAACCAAATTAGAGTTGGATTCAGATGATCATGTTTAGGGCTATGTAGACCCATTGTTAGAGCTCTGTTGACCTATTACTTCTATAATTCCCCCCCCCCAGCTGCTATGGGTTTTAGGGGGGGGTTGGTATTTTTTTAACATGTTTAGTCATCCAGAATCATGCATTTCAGATCAATCTCATAAATAAGTGCACCAAAGTGCTTGCTTTGGCTTAATAGATTGGATGGACTCATCCAATTTCAAGACATTGATAAAAACCATACTTTAAAAATTCATAACGTTGTGAATTTTTGCACATAATGTTTGTGCAATTTAGCTGGTTGAATATTATCCTACTCCTGAGGAAATGATTTATGGCAGTCCTTGTTTGTTGTTTCCTCCAAAATTTATAGCTTTTTTTTTTAAAAGGACAACGTGGTTACAAATGTCTACCTGAGAGTAGATATCCATTATATGGGAGGAGTGCATAAGCCAAAATACTAATCTAGGGGAATTTTATTCAATGTACCCAACTAGGATCTGTTTTGAATAAAAGTAATAAGGTGGACAAGTGAAACAACAAAACTAAATGATTCAGCAAAAACAAAATAAATAAATATCTACCCTTGGATTAACTCCTGATCACAGCCTCCATATTGTTGTTCTTGTGAAGAACAATGGAACTAGCAAACTTCAAACTGGTGAGGTTGCTCTGTCTCTAAAAAAGCAACATTTCCCAGTGTGAGTACCTGCAATGGTGATGCAGATTAACCTAGCTGCAAGTGCCCAAATTGACTAAAACCTCAGGAAATTGCCAAATTTCACAAGATGTTGTATTCTTTGGAAAATGTTGCAAGATGTGAGGTTGGAGCATCAACATTTTTGGAGACTTCACACATGACTTCAGCTATTGTTTAAACTTATCATTAAAATAATTTTCACACTATATAAGGAAAATATATCATGTGTCACAGTGCTGAAAGGCATGTAACTAGATCCTGGCTTGCATTTCTGTTAACAATGCAATGATCCACGTGCTGACTGAGAATTCTTCCAGTAGAATTTAAGACCAGCTAACAGTTTCAGTTAGGAAGACAGATCAAATTAAAGAAAATATGCTAAGCCCAGAAATGTTTTGGTCAACCCTAGAATAGAATTTATACACTTTCCTATACCTTTACTTTAATTTGTTCCCCCCACCAATAATTATTTTTCTACATATTTCCAAATACAAGTGTAGCAACCTTCCTTATACGGGGAATCTTTGACTTGAGACTCCAATTGAGCCCAGAATTATGGTCATAAGTTGTGCTAGTTGTTAAAGAGGTCACCATATTATCATGCCCAAATATATGGTTTTTTTGTAATGTTCATTAAGCAAATTGTCCACAATGGGTGTTTTTGTCAGAAACCCGAAGTAAACTCCAGTTTCTAACAAAAAAACCCCTGTAAATCTGGTGAAGTGACAGCAGGATACCACAAACAACTGTACATCTGGGCCAGTTGCTGAGCCCCCAAAATGCAGTCATGTAACTGGGGAAGAGGCAGCCATGATAACTTTGAATTTGGTTCATAAGTAGCCTGGGGAAGTTTGTTGTAACTCCGAACACTTGCTAAGCAACCCATTGTAAGTTGAGGACTACCTGTACTAGTGCTTCTAGGTGTGTCAGACTACAATTTCCATTGCCTTTGGTCAGCATGGCTAGAAAGTGATGGGAGTTGTAGTTCAACATATATGAGTAGTTCCCACTGCTTCTATAGGCCCAGCATATCTTTACTCAGAAATAAGCCACATGGAATTCCATGGGGTATATTTTGAAGTAAGCAGACCAACTTAATTATTCTGTTTGTAAATTGCAGCTTAATTAATTTCCCTATCCTATCTAAAAACTGCATTTCTCAAACATCCAATTTATATTTTTCCCATCCATAACTGTGTTGTTCAGTTCCGAGGAGACAACTGGGAAAATAAAAGCCTAACCACAGTTATCTCAGCTCTGTAAACTCATGCCTAAGGGAGGACTATAACTCCCCGTTTCCTGGTTTCTAGGTCAGTACCTTAACCACTATTCCAAACTAATTCTCAGTTTAGGTGATGAATAGAACTAAACTAGTGTGGTTTAGAAACCAGTTTAGGGATTACCAATATATGTGAATCAGACGCTTATGATTAATTCAAGGAAGCATGGATAAAACAGACCATGACCTAATGTGATAGGGGAGCTCAGCCAGGGTGTGAGAAGTTGTTTTTTTGCCTCTTTGTGTTAGCAGAAGGAAGAAAGTGTGCTTGAAAGGAGATACCAACCCAGGACAGATGCCAAATCGTAATTGAATATGGAGGTGCAGGAAAGGTGGGGGAAGGAACACTTCTGCACTTAAGCTTTCAGGTTCCTTTTGAAGCACCATCAGTGGGGAGGCATTTACAAGCAGATAGCACTTGGGAGAAAGGAGCTTGCATCACCCCAAGTCATTGAAAAACATAGCTAAAAACTAATGACTAATTGCATTGTGCAGCTCTTCAGCCACTATTGCAAAGGATGATCTGTTACGACATTTAAGGATATTCTGTAGGAGTAATGATTCACCCACAAGTCCAGAGGAGCTCCAACGTTCTCATAACTGATAAATTAATGTCAGGCCCCAAAACCAAGAAAGACGTGCTGATTCTTCCAAGCAATTTGGAATCAGATCTCATTGGTTGGCTACACAAGAGGGATTCAGAATCAGAATTGAGCTGGAAGGGACCTTGGGGGTCTTCTTGTCCAACCCCCTGCTCAGGCAGGAGACCCTATACCATGGACAAGAGGCTGTCCAGTCTCTTCTTTAAAATCTCCAGTGATGAAGCACCCACAACCTCTGAAGGCAAGCGGTTCCACTGGTTGATTGATCTCACTGTTAGGAAGTTTCTCCTTAATTCCAGGTTGCTTCTCTCCTTGATTAGTTTTCATCTATTGTTTCTTGCCTTGCCTTCTGGTGCTTTGGAAAATAAGTTGACCCCCTCCTCTTGTTGCAGCCCCTCAAATACTGGAATATTGCTATCATGTCACCACCTAGTCCTCCTTTTCTCTAGACTGGCCATAACCAATTCCTGCAACTGTTCTTATGTTTTAGTCTCCAGGCCCTTAATCATCTTTGTTGTTCTTCTCTGTACTTTTTCCAAAGTCTCAACATCTTTTTTGTAACGTGGTGACCAAATCTGGATGCAGTATTCCAGGTGTGGTCTTACTAAGGTTTTATAAAGTAGTACTAATACTAATAGCAATTTTCTTTATTGTTCTGCACTGATAGACAGAATTGTGGCAACTAAGTACTCTACTAGCTACATCCGGCATATATTCTGAGCTATTAGGGAGGGCTGTCTTCACCCTCTTTCTCTCACATTTAATATCTGGAATGAGCTGCCTCTTATTCCTCTGGAATGCACTCTCCTGGGAATGCAGCCTACTATATCCCATCACAATCAAGGTTCCTACTTGACGGTTTTGTTCAGACATAGGTTTCATCGTCCGCTTTGCAAGCTTTGACCTATGTCTTCAACACTGCATGGCCTCCAAGCCTTCTAGCAGTTAATTTGCTAATGGGCAAATTGATGCATCTTCTCTGTTTGATATCAATGGATATGTATGAACATTAGGGCATCCTGCAGTAGGCATCCAGCTGTTTTACATAAGTTTTGCTGCAGATGCATATTTCAGTCACAGCAATAACCTACTGAAAGACAGTGTTTTGCTAATGTGCCCTTAACTTAAAAATTGATGGCACTTGGTTTTTCAATCCGCAGAATAAAGAATACAGCACTTAGCAAATAGAGATGCAGTTCAACAAATCATGATTAAGGGACATGATACAGTCAGTGAAAAAAGAATAATAGCATAGTTAGCATTTTCTTCTAAAAATGTGGATATAACATAGGCTCTTTACCATGAGTTAAATAACCCTAGCCTTAACCCAATCTAAAGAAAATATCAAGCTGGCATGAGTCTAAGTGTGACATTTGTTGTGTGGATAGATTTTATGTTGCAAGATTTTGGCTGAATGTTGGGAGAAATTCTTGGTCCAAAGTGGTTCGTTATTGGAATGAATTACCCAGTGGTGATGGATTTGAAGGTCTTCCAGCATTGATAAAGGAGAATATTTGTAGCTCAGAGTTGACATGAGGGCCCTTGTTGCTCTCTGAGCTTGGTTGTTTTCTTGCAGACCTTTCATTACCCAAACCAAGTAACATCATCAGAGCATGGATGATGTTACATCTGCAAGAAAGCAACCATGCACAGAGAGCAACAAGGTCCTCTCAGCATCCTTCACTTTATCCATGGTAGTGGATTCATCTGGACCTAGAGAGAATTTCTCATTCGTTCATTCATTCACAGAGGATTTCCCATTTATTTATCAATCAAATCTATATGGCCACCCATCTCACACGAAGTGATTCTGGGCAGCATACACTTGCAATAAAACTCAGGTAGTCCTTGACTTACGATCACAGTTGGTGACCAGAACTGTTGCTAAGAAAAGTGGTTGTTAAGTGAGTTGTGCCTCATTTTTATGACCTTTTTGCCATGGTTGTTAAGCAAATCACTGCAGTTGTTAAGTGAATCATGCAGTCGTTAAGTGTATCTGGCTTCCCCCATTAACTTCGCTCGTCAGAAACTTGCTGGCATGGTCGCAAATGGCAATCACAATGACTCTGGGATGCTGCAACAATTGTAAATACATGTCGGTTACCAAGCAACCAAATTTTGATAAGATGACCGTGGGGAGGCTGCAATGGTTGTAAGTGTGAGGACTGGTTGTAAATCACTTTTTTCAGTGCTGTTCTAACTTTGAATAGTTGCTAAACAAATTCTTGTAAGTTGTGCATTACTCATAAAACATTATACAAAAGCCATTTAAAATAGTTAAATATGAATAAAAAAATAAGGTGACAAAAGGGATCATATCAGATGATGCAGCCCACACAGAGGCTCTCTGTTGGCGGGTGATCCCCAGGCTTCCTGAAAAAGTCATGTTTTAAGGAATTTCTGGAAGGGTTGGGGCCAATCTCACGGGGGGGGGGGAGGGGAGATTTGATGTCCAAAGGTTGGATACCAGAGGCCAGCATCTACCAAACAGGTTCACGCTAAATACCAAATCCAAATACTCCATGCTAGGGCTTAACATAGATCTCTAAAAACATACATTCTTGCAAATGTTGGGTTCCATTTAAAAGCATATGCAGTATTCCGATATTTTCACAAATTAACAAGGTACACGTTTTGCCCTAAACAGAAAAAATTGTAAAAAGGAGCTGGTTTGGAAGTAAAATGTGACATCAATTTACAAAGCTGGTATGCATTTAAGGACTCAACTAATTATTGTGTTCATGGATTTGTTGGTATGAAAGAAGAAAAGTATCCCTGTTTATAATGTCATGGGAAACTGTACACTCTCTGTAACTAGATCATATGTAAGGGTGTAGGTCATTGGTGGCGAACCTATGGCACGCGTGCCAGAGGCGGCACTCAGAGCCCTCTTTGTGGGCACGTGTGCCATGCCCCGGAGATGGCAACCATCCCTCTTCAACCAGCTACCTGAGGTCCCACATGGCCGGGTGCATCCCGGCATGGCTGGTTTCCCTACCCCCCTATCCCGTCCCTCCTGGCCTTGCATGCTCTCCTTTTCCCGGGCACGACCCACTGCATCATCTCCTCAGCCAGCTGTCCAGCTCAGAGGCAGCTTCTCTGAACTGCTGGTGGTGGACTGTGGAGCCACAGAGTGTGCTGGTAGAGGAGCCGGCAGGCTGTGGCTGCTGATGGACACAGTCAGCCCCCATGTGCTCGCTGGCCTTTGTGTGCGGGGGGCGTCGATGACAGGCAGCAACTGCCCCAGCCCTTGCCTCACCTTGCTCCGTGGCAATGGTACCCCTGCCCTACCTCACCCTGCAGGATGAGCCTCCTGCCCACCATCCCACCTGCCAGAGACCCCCTGGATCTCCCCCAACCCTGCCTGGCCCCTACAGAATCCCTTCCCATGAGCAACATCGAGGTGACCACGCCCAGTTTGGCCACACCCAGCCAGTCTGCCACAGCCACGCCCACCCAGTGGGCCTCGTCCCACCTGGCACCCGGCGATAAATAAGTGGGTTTTGGGTTGCAGTTTGGGCACTCGGTCTCTAAAAGGTTCGCCAACACTGGTGTAGGTCTATACCAGGGGTGCCAAACTCAATTTCATTGAGGGCTGCATCAGCATTGTGGTTGCCCTTGGGGGGCCGGGGTGTGTGGCCAGGGTGGGTGTGACCTACTGGGTGGGCGTGGATAGAGTGGGTGTGGCCTACTGGGTGGGCATGGCCAGCTCTACATAGTTCGTGTCAAGGGTGCCTGTGGGGGCCTGGGCAGGAGTGGGACAGATCTGAGGGTCTCTGGCAGAAGGGGGTGGGACCGGGGCAAGCACCAAGGCACGGTCCATTTCTTCATTCCTCACAAAGGGTGACACCTCCCCAGCATGCACCCAGGGGGGCAGGGACAATGCAGCAGGGGCTGATTCCTCACTGTTTCTAGATGGCCTTGTGGAGCTAAGATTGAGTGGGTTTCAGCATAGATGGCCATCACAAAATTTTACATTGGCTCCCGGCTGGCCTGGGCCAGGGCCAAGGCAGAGGAGGCCATTCCCTCACTGTTTCCAGGATGGCTTCACGGGCCACATGAAACTACTTTGCGGGCCGCATCCGGCCCCCGGGCCTTATGTTTGACATGTCTGGTCTATACATATGTTGTATATATAGTATGTTTAAATGTGTGTTATGTATGTGTACACTTTGAGAGCAACTAAATTTCATTTTTAATGTGTGCCATTGTGCCCACAGTAAAAAAAAATGACAATGAAGGTTGTCTGTCTATCTATCTATCTATCTATCTATCTATCTATCTATCTATCTATCTATCTATCTATCATGTAAAGTTCACTATAAAATGTGTCCAAACCATGTGATAGAAAACACAGCAACACACTATACCAGGCTAAAATGGGTTTTGGTGATGCGTGATCTATTGTGCTGCAAGAGCACAATTCTTTTCTTAACATTTGATTGGAACCAAGGCATTATGTTAATCCATAGCATGGTTTATTTGGTTAAAATATGTGAGCACAGCAATTCTTGTTTCATTATCCTGGTTTAGGCTGTTATCTGAATCTGTCCGGAGTGTCAGTAATCATAGATTATATTGTGCAATCATATTGCTTGATTTACGGGACCCAGATACCACTACCCTCTCTTACAACTTTTCTCTATTTTCCTCTGTCTTTTCCATTTTTTTCCTCAACATTCACAAAATCCATTAAATAGAGAAAGATGGAATATCTTTACAGTGACTTATGACTGATAGCACTTACTGCTTATTATTTAAAAGCACATGCTCACTCCGAACATTACTTTATGCTCGTTAATGACTTTAATCTACTTTGTATTAATATTAATACTTGACCTTCTCTAAAATAAGCCTGCAGTCATCTCAGCGATGTCCATAACAAGATCATATGTGGTCCAGCAGTTAATTAATTAGACTTAAATAGCATCATAGGCACATGACAGTTAGAAACTTCAAGAGAGACAGAAAGACAGAAAGTTGTGCAAGAGAATTGGAGTGAGAACAAATGTGCCAGTTTGTTTGTTTGTTTTTTTCTCCACTACATCAGAGCATCAGAAGAGACTGTGCAGGTTTTAAACAGCAGCAATAGGAGGCAGTAAATAGAATGATTCATGGAAATTATTTTCACTGTCCTGGGAAAATAATACTTAATTGGGTTGCGTTCACTCAGCATCACTACATACTTTGGGAATGAGCCTAAAACTATTTTCACTAAAGGCCTACCAAGCTTATTAGATTTGTATTCTGGCATTCCTCCCAGAACTCAAGAAAGTCTACGTATCTAGCTTTCTCTCCAACTCTTGCTCACGGCAACAATCCTGTGAGGCAGGTTTTGCTGAGAGACAAGGACTGACCTCAAATCCATCAGTGAACTTCATAGTGGAGATGAGTTTGATCCTTGATATTTACTGCAGCAAAATATATGGGGAGCTAGAATCTCTTAGGACAGGAGTGCTGACAATGTAAATAATCCACTGTGACCTTGCACAGAGATGGGAAGCATAAAGGAGGGCATCCTCTCTAAGCTGTGAAAAAGGAGGGAGGACATTGAAGGTTATAACATGGTTGCAACAATCACAACTGTCAGAAGACAATTAATTGCTGGGTTCTAGTGAGCAATAAAGATTCTGCACTGGCTATGCTGGGATGGACGTGTGGGAGACTTTAGCTTAGGTGTAACCGGATGCAAAAGAGGAGATTCTGACATTGAACACTAAACCACACTTTTGGTGATGCGCAGTCTAAAGTTATTCCTGGACAAGGATAGAGTCATCGGGCTGATGCAATAGATGTGTCAGTTTTGATGGGGGAATTGCTTAATGCATGATTTGAAAACTGCAGTGGATGCAACAAACAACAGCAAGTGAGATGGCTAGCTGCTATCATAAAATACCACTGATTGCCATTTGGTTCCTGGGCTAATTGAAACCTCAGAAAGATTTACAATATATACCGGTAAGAGAACCCCTATAGTCAGCAGCTTCTGCAAAATTGGATTACTATGTCAAAATTGGCAAGATGGCGAATGGTGTGTATCACAATAAAGTCCATCAGCTTACACTGACTCTGTGTCAGTGACTCTGCCATATCGCTGACTTTGATGCACAGAGCCTTGGAAGCGGCTATCCATGGAGATATGTTTGATGTCAACCAGGAAGAAGGTTTTCTGCATTGTTTTGGAAGTTGTTTGGCACGTACATCTTGTTGAGCACTTTTATATTCATCTCAGCATTTGAGAGTTTGTGACAGAGCTGCCACATGAGTGGATATCCACCAATTAGGTTGGTTTTTGCTGACATGGAGGCCCCATGTCACTATACCAAATTATGCCAAGGCCTGTGATTGCCCTTTTATTTTCTGTCTCTTGGGCGTGCCAGTCTTACCCAATGTCATATTCGGCATTATTTATGACGCAGGGAACACTTAACTGGTGCCTCCTAATTATAGCTGAACTCTAATCCCCAGAAGGCCCAGCCAATATAGCTAATAATTAGGTATCCAGAGAGTACCATAGTAGGTTTCCAGCTCTGCTCAAAAGCATTGGAACCATGCATGTGGATGTTTGGGGTGTGTTTTTATGTTTGGCATGAGTGAGTGAGTGAGTGAGTGAGTGAGTGAGTGAGTGAATGAATGAATGCCATTAACTCCCAATTGGGGGAAGCGCTACTAGTCTTTGCATAATTAGAAATTGTGTTTCATCCTACCAGATACAACTGATGACCACACATTACTATGGTTGTTGAACCACATCCGTTTGGGAATCCCAGAGCTCATCATCCAGATTCGGCACCACAAGCACACCCGGGTCTATGCATTTTTTGTCACAGCAACTTATGAAAGGTAAATCCTCTTGAAGGTTGGTAAGAGGGAAAGATGGGCAAGTTGTCAGCAATAGATGGGCAATAAAGACTTAGACAGCCTAATACAGTGATGGCGAACCTTTTAGAGACCGAGTGCCCCAAAACTGGCCCTGCCCCCACCCCCACTCCCCCCCATCCCGCCTGCCCACAGGGCTACTCACTACCTACAGGGCCCGCCGCAGATCACCCAGGCAGCCCAGCAGCGCTATGGCGGTCACGCCCTCTGCCTGTGCCCTGCAGCATCAACTGTGCATGATAGGGTGTGAGGGCAGAGTCTTGTCTACGCTGCCTGGCTGCCATGTCCTTGGCTGCACTGCTCCGCGTGGGCCATACTCAGGGGCGACTCTCCTTCACGGGAGCTGCTGGAGAGGAGGGGGTCGCGGGGGGAAGCAAGGCTGGGGCAATGGCACGTGTGCCCACTGAGAGGGCTCCGAGTGCCGCCTCTGGCACCCTTGCCATAGGTTCGCCACCACTGGCCTAGTAATTTAACTACTGCTGGAGGAGGCACTAGATTAGAAGACTAGTCTAAAGCAGGGTTACTCAGCCTTTGAGCATGCTGGCTGGAGAATTCAGGGAGTTGATGTTCAAATATCTTAAAGTTGATAAGCTTGAGAAACATTGGTTTAAAGACTTGGAGATGGAGCAAAACCATGAAAATGGATATATTTTCCAATATTACATGGTACAGGCATATATAGAATCAGACTACAGGTAGCCCTCGATTTACAACCATAACCGAGCCCCAAATTTCTGTCACTAAGTGAAACATTTGTTAAGTGAATTTTGCCCCATTTTACGAAGTGTCTTGCCACAGTTGTTAAGTGAATCACTGCAATTGTTAAGTTAGTAACATGGTTGTTAAGGGAATCTGGCTTCCCCATTGACTTTTCTTGTCAGAAGGTAGCCAAAGATGATCACATGATCCTGGGACACTGCAACCGTCATAAATATGAGTCAGTTGGCACATGTCTGAATTTTGATCGCATGATCATGGGAATGTCACAATGGTTGTAACTATGAAAAACGGTCATAAGTCACTTTTTTCAGTGCTGTTGCAGCTTTGAATGGTCACTAAATGAACTGTTGTAAGTTGAGGACTACTTGTAATAGTCCATTTGAGCCAGGATTATTTTTTCTAACGTCAACAAATCTCAAGGGTCTCGGGAGACAGTTTTTGTGCTATCACCTTTTAATTTGGAGAGCTTGGAGTTCAACTCAAGAGCTTATGCATGCAAAATTAGAATAGAGTAGAGTAGAGTAGAGTAGAGTAGAGTAGAGTAGAGTAGAGTAGAGTAGAGTAGAGTAGAGTAGAATAGAATAGAGCTGGAAGGGACCTTGGAGGTCTTCTAGTCCAGTCCCCCACTCAAGCAGGAGAACCTATATCATCTCAGACAAGTGACTGTGAGACTTACAGAAAAGATGGCTGAAAATACATTTCTTCCTGGACTTTTTATGTAGGACAGTGTCAGGCCCAAACCCAGAGATGACACAGCAAAATCCAATTGAGTTCCACGCTTTATTTGCTTATACCTAATGGACAGCATTGTCCCAAACAAAGCTATAAGCAGTCCTCTTTTAAAACCATTCATTTAGTGAATATTCAAAATTACACTGAAAAAAGTGACTTATGACCAGTACTCACACTTACGACTGTAATAGTATTCCCATGATCAAATTCTGGTTGCTTGGCAACCAGCATGTATTTATGATGATTGCGGCATCTCGGGATCGTGTGATCACCATTCATTACCTTCCCAGTTGGCTTTCAACAAGAAAGTCAATGGGGGAACCAGCTTTGCTTAACAACTACACGATTCACTTAACAACCATGGCAAAAAAAGTCATCAAATTGGGTATGACTCACTTAACTATTGCCTTAACGATGGAAACCCTGGTCCAAATTGTGTCGTATGTCAAGAACTACCTGTGTAACCTTCTGCTCTGTTAGATATATCCTGAGAGATTCTTTAGGGCAGTGGTTCTCAACATTTTTAATGCCGCGAGCCCCAACCGGTTGTAAGTCAAGGACTACTCAACCGGTCGTAAGTTGAGAACTACTCAACTGGTACAGCACCGTTTGCAGAATGGGACTTTTGGCGGGCTCAGCAGAGCAGAGACAGCCTGGACAATTCCTATTGGCTTTTAAAAGCCAATAGAATTAGACTCTATTCAAGAGAGTCTATTCTATTGGCTTTCAAAAGCCAATAGAATAAAAGGGAGTAGCACAGCTAAGGAAAAGGGGGAAAAAATGGCGGACTGCGTTGTTTGGCAACCCTCGTGAAATGGTCGTTCGACCCCAAATGGGGTCCCCACCCACAGGTTGAGAACCACTGCTCTAGGGTGTAGCTATCCTCCCCATAAGAGACGCCACAGTTTCTCTGAGAAAGCTGGAACTTTTTAGGAAGCGATTGGACACACATTTGTCTGAAATGGTATATAGGGTGTCCTCTCTGAGCGGGGGGGGGGGTTGGATTAGAAGACCTCCAAGGTCCCTTCCAACTCTGTTATTCCTCGGTGTTGACAAAACTCTGCCCCACTGCTCCTCCAGGTGCGTTTCCATCAGAGAGAGAGTGCAGAATGCAACATACTATAGGTAATATAATCTGTGACGTTCTTGTAGTCTCTTAAAGGTCATCTGCTGAGTCCAGTTTCTCCTTAATCAAAGTAAACATAAAATAGTAAAACTCCTTGCCAGGTTACAGAAAGCAGTAGGTGGATCTTACTATATTTAATGTTGTAGATCAGTCTTTTTCATTCTGGTGTCTTATAGTTGTACTGAGGGGCACCAACTTGACAATGGTTGGTATATGTACATCAAAATCAATACACGACAAATGTATTTATTAAATTTTCATGCTACCCAGCTCACCGTCAGGTGCTTCTGGGCAGAGAGAAGCCACATTATTCCAGCAAATGTAGAAAACACGAAACAAGGTAGAGCAGAAATTGTGATCCTTCTTTTACATTTCTAGCCAGCATAGTGAAAGAAAAGGAATGCTGGGAGCTGTAGTTTAGCAGCTTGAAGGGTAACAGGTTTAGTGTTCTAATTCTAAGTGGATTTTCTTAGAGCCTTTTTCCCATTGCTGATTTGAAATATTTTTCACCCACCTTTCGGTCAGCCAAAAACTACTGGCATGGATTCCAGTACTAGCTAACATTTTTTGCAGACTTCAATTATCAAGATCATCTTCAGATTTCTCATCTAAAATCTGAAGGTGAACCTCATTTTCTCACTTTCCTGCGTGCCCCTCTCTTGGCAGTTTGCTCCGGGGGGCAGACGAGATTGGTTTGCGGAAGCCTGTGAAGGCCGAATTTGGGGGTGGCATGCGCAGTTTCTCCTGCGAGGAAGATTACATCTACAAGAACATAGAAAATGAACTCTATTTTTTCACTTCTCAGGTGAGTCCTCTGGGGCAGTGAAAAGGAGAAAATCTCCTAGCGCTGATGATGTTTCCTAGTTTGGGTAGTGAAACATTGGCAAGAAAACAAGCAAGCTCAGAGAGCACCAAGGAACCCTCATGTCAACCCTGAGCTAGAAATATTCTCCTTTATTAGAAAAATCTCCTTCCCTTTGGTTCTAGTTGCTGTTTGGTAGGAATCCATTGATTGTTAAAAACCTCTACAGATGATCATGCTGGGTTGATCGAAAGATTTGCTAGGTCAGACAAACTCCGGGTTCCACAAAGATTTATTGTTTCAATGATCTCAGGAAAGGAGGCAGAGACCTCTCCAATCTGTCCCCAAGGAGCTGTTTTTTATTAATAGTTTGCCACTCTGCACAGAGGCTCTGTAGAGTCCTTATAGCTAATGGCCCTCCATTCCTCTTTCTAACTCGGTTAATAAGCAGGACTATGCGTTGCATTCATGTCCCCAAAGCTTTGGACGAGGCATCTGAAATCCCTATGAACACTGCCCACAAATTGCAATGTTTATTGAAGGCAAAGAGGGAGGATCATGTTGATAGGATTGCATTCATTTAGTGTGAAATTCAGTGAAATTCAGTGGAAATGAAATCAAATGTCATTCAAAACTAAGAATGCCTCACGGCTAGGCGTGTCATCATCCAGACTTCTGAATCTGGCAGCCTAATTAGCACAATATTTCAATTAGACTAATAGGCGAATTCACCCACTTTGCATTCATTGGATGCATTTTGAACACAAGAGAGTACACTGACACACCCTCCTCTGGCTCTCCCTTCTTACCCCATGAGTTCCATTTTTGGAGATCAAACGTTCTTCCTCCCTCTGGGATCCCGTGGGATCATCCACTTAGCCCTTCATTGCCAAATGCTTTTGTTCATTTAGGGCAGGAGTCTCCAAACTTGGCAACTTTAAGACTTGTGGACTTCAATTCCCAGAATATCTTAGCCAGCCCTGCTGGCTAAGGAATTCTGGGAGTTGAAATCCACAAGTCTTAAAGTTGCCAAGTTTGGAGATCCCTGACTTAAGGGCTTCCCTTTCTAACTCCTGCTATTTCACGTGCTGTGTATCAAAACAGGGTCAGTCTGGCTCACAGGGCACCCCTATCCAATGGCCCCCATATTTGCACTCTGCTGTTCCCAGCTACGGTAATAGCTTTTTAATGAAGAAAAGAACGAGGGGGGACATGATAGCAGTGTTCCAGTATCTCATGGGCTGCCCCAAAGAAGAGGGAGTCAAGCTATTCTCCAAAGCACCTGAAGGCAAGACAAGAAGCAACGGATGGAAACTAATCAAGGAGAGAAGCAACCTAGAACTAAGGAGAAACTTCCTGACAGAACAATTAACCAGTGGAACAACCTGCCTCCAGAAGCGGTGAATGCTCCAACACTGGACGTTTTTAAGAAGAGACGGGACAGCCATTTGTCCGAAATGGTATAGGGCAGTGATTGCGAACCTTTTACAGACCGAGTGCCCAAACTGCAACCCAAAACCCACTTATGCATCGTCGGGTGCCGGGTGGGTGTGGCCCATTGGGTGGGTGTGGCTGCGGTGGTAACGGCAGACTGGGTGGGACTAAAAAGTTCCATCAGTCCCAACTTTGCAAGATCTTTTTTTTCCCATGAGAAGTTGAAATTGACTGATTGATTGAACTTTTTTTTTTGCACATGGCGGCAGAGGCCTAAAGCGAAAAGGTTTTATAAAACCCAGCTGAAAGCCTGGGACTGGGGCAACGGCATGTGTACCCACAGAGAAGGCTCTGAGTGCCGCCTCTGGCACCCGTGCCATAGGTTTGCCACCACTGGTATAGGGCTTCCTGCCTGACCTGGGGGTTGGACTAGATAACCTCCAAGGTCCCTTCCAATTTTATTATTATTATTATTACATCTGCAGATCAGGTCTGCCTGCACAAAGCAGTATTTCCTGCACAGACAGCTTTGTTGAGTGGGGTTATTTTCTCAGTCCTGGAACAGTCTGTCCTCTGTCTTTGCTTTGGATGGAGTCGTGTGTCCTGAATCACAGCCGGCTGGAACAATGTGGTCTAGTAGGAGAGAATGAATGGCTTTCAAGAGAGCTGTAGAGACCTGATCCAGCCATGGACATGGCTTTGAATGAGAGGCTGGTGACCCAAACTCTTCATGGCTTGTCCCTCCTGCTTTCAGGAACGCCAAAACATCATCAGGTATTGGCTGGAGAATCTGCGGGCCAAGCAAGGTGAAGTGCTGCACAACATCCACTTCCTGGAAGGGCAGCCAATCAGTGAGTTGGGGATGGGGGCTAGCAGGTGGGAGGTGCTAAGTGCTGTGCCTCTGCCAGTTAAAACCAGAATTTATTTTTTTTTTTTTTGCACAAGTTTCCATGCCATGCTGAAACTTCTCTGGGCCATGTCTTTCACACTTGCTCAGTGTTAGAAAAGTCTGATTTTGAAACTGAATGTTCATATACTTCTTATTCGAATTTCTGTGGCCACCCATCTCACATGTCTGACAACGAGCAGTTTACAAACAATTAAAACAAATATAAAAACAAAAAAAGAATGATATAACCCTTTAAAAATAAGAGGAAAATAACATGAAAGCATATAAAAACGATGTTAAATACATAAAAGGTACAGCCCATAGTATTCCTTTACTTACGACCATTCATTTTGCTATTGTTCGAAGTTATGTCCGGCTTGAAAAAAGCAACTTATGACCGTTTCTCGCATTTAACAATGTTGCAGCATCCCTTTGGTCACATGATGAAAATTTGGGTGCTTGGCAACCAGCATATATTTGCCGTGGTTGCGACATCCCGGAGTCAGTGATTATCAGCCAGCTGCTAACAAGCAAAGTCAATGGAGGAAGACAGATTCGTTTAACACAGGGGTCCTCAAACTTGGCCACTTTAAGACTTGTGGACCAACTCCCAGAATTCCCCAGCCAGCATGGTTTAACAGATAACACGATTTATTTAACAACCACAGTGATTCGTTTCATGAACGCAGCAAAACAAAGGTTGTAAAACTGAGTGCAACTCACTTAATGACCGCCTCACTTAATGACAGAATGTCTGGTCTTAATTGCAGTCATAAATCGAGGATGACCTGTAATACCATTCAGTAAAACAGTCAATGCAGCCACTGGTCCCCATGGTGGTTGGTTAAACCATGTCTCTGAGACCTTGCAAAAAGCCAGAAAGGGATATAATGGCTACCTCAAATTAAAAAAAAATAACTAATCTCATAAATCCAGGCATGCTCGTGTCCATTAATTTGGATTGTCTTATCTGTGATTTATTTTAACACAGAGAGTGGTTGGATTGGGGTTAGCAGCTGGAATACTTGGGCCAAACCTGGCCCTTTGAAGCAAAAGTCTCAGGTCCTCCCCTGTCGACCTTGAAATAAAACTGCTGTAATTGGAATTTTATCTGAACATATTGGCTGAGACAGGCACCACTTCTTCCTTCCTTCCTAAGGGGCACCTTGTAAATTGACTCATAGATCGAGACCATTTTTAAAAAGAACATTTAATATTCACCTGCCAAATTAGATGCTTTTGTTCCTTCCCTTCCCTGCCCCCAATTCCCATGTTCAAACCATCCCTGAAATGGATCGTGCTGAAAAGAATTTTAATCAAGTGAAAATTTAATTAGGGCAAAGTGTAGAATTGCAAGTGCAGGAGAATGAAGAAAATTAACAGAAGAACATTAGTCTTCGCCTTCCTTCACCCCTGGACAGCTGAGGCGCCATCTAAATATTTAATAGAAATCAAGTAATTACCAATTTCCCTGAATTGTAGCTCCTTGTGGGATAGGGTGGGGTGAGGCCAGATGAGGGGGCTAGATAGCTTAAAGCACCCTAGTCTTAGAAAGATGAGGGTGCTGTAAAGTCAGAGAAGGTAAAATCTTTCAGTGGCTGGAAATGATGGTTATAGCACAGATAGTCCTTGACTTACAATCATTCGTTTAGCAACTCTTTGAAGTTATAACAGTACTGGAAAAAAGTGACTTACAACCAGTCCTTGCTCTTATGACTATTGCAGCATTCCCATCAGAATTTGGATGCTTAGCAACAGGCATGTAGACAAGACGGTTGCAGCATCCAGGGCTCGCCATTTGTGACCTTCCCAGCTGGCTTCTAATAAGAGAAGTCAGTAGGGGAACCTGGATTAACTTAACGGCCACATGATTCACTTAACTACTGAAGTGATTCATTTAACGTGGCGGGGAAAAAGGTCACAAAATTGGGTGCTACTCACTTAACAACTGCCTTCCTTAGCAATGGAAATTCTAATCCCAATTGTGATTGTAAATTGAGGACCATCTGTATTTGCACATCAGGAAACCAGATAGCACCAAAGATAAAGAAATTGCACAGGAATTGTACCTAGTTCAAAAACGGAAATGAAATAAACGTGAGGGATGAATGTGAGGAGGAATAATAAAGATGTGTTGGTTATTGTATGAGGCCTAATCATTAGGTCCCACACATGTTATTTTAGTCTATCTTAATCATTGCTGTCAAAAGCATCAAGGCACATAAAAAGATGAGCTTTGTTCATCTTGACTTTTTTCACCATGCTGTGCAGACACCCTGATCACTATAATAATATATCCTAAACATATATTAATATACACTTGAAAGGAAGATGAGGTTGAATTTAAAACAGTCACTCTCTAAAAGAGATTAAGAGGGGAAAAAACTGTTTATCCTTCCAAAAGCCACACAATTTAATCCTATGCTGCTATCTTTTAGAAAATCCCTTAACATTTATCACATAGAGCAGATCATGGTGGAAAGCAATTTTATCACCCCATGCTGATTTTGGACTGTTATTCCTTGGTTCTTGGTATTTCCTTTTCCAATATAGTAATATATCCATTGTTTTTCGCTGTTTGCCACTGTTTCCTGCCTGTTTTATTGTTCTAATAAATTGCATGACATCTAGATTGGTTCTGTTGATTGAGATAGTTTATAAACTGAACAAAGGAAATTTGGATAAATATTTATTCATGGTCTGTTTGAGGGCCATAACACACCACATGTTTATTATTCTTTTCTCTCTCTCTCTCTCTCTCTCTTTGGTTTTTGTATTTTGAGTTCAGTTGTTCCTCTTTCATATTGTGGTATTTAAACGGAGCAAGCTCAAATTGTATTGATTGTCCTCATGCACCAAATGATCAAGCTTGCCTCTGGGTCTGACTTGAGCGTAATTAGAAAATAAAAAGAATAAGCTGGCTTAGTCTCTTGTTTGAAAGAGTTTACACCTGTAAGGCAAACAAAACATAGGCAAAACAGGACAATCCAGAACTCTCTAGGGCAGGAAGAGGAACAGCCTCACTGTTTACCTTCTAGTAAATAATTGCTATTTTATAAATAGACCAAAACAGAAACACCCACAGCCCATTGTAGTTCCTTGAGGTTAAAACTCATGGCACATTCTCAGCAGTCTGAATGGGCCTTCCACCTCAAAAGGATGCCTGCTTCATGCTCTGGAGTGCATTTCCAGATTCAGTCTGTTTTGTGGCCTATTGCTAGCACAGTGGCTATCTGTCCAGGGACATGCTTGACCATGGTAGTGTCAAAAAATGGAGTCCAGGGGTCTATGGTTAGTGTGGAGAGCTTAAAAAGAGATTTCTGGATCTTTGCTCTGCTCTGTTCTTCTTTTTTTCACAGTTCCTGAGCTGGCTGCTCGTGGCATCCTCCAGCAAGTCTTCCCCATCCACGAGCAACGGATTCTGAACCGGCTGATGAAATCATGGGTACAAGCCATTTGTGAAGCCCAGCCTTTGGGTATGGTCCCTTGATTCACATAGGTCACTGCCTAGAACATTTACCTCCACGCTTCTATTTTTTTTTCCACTGCATTCTACTAAAGTAGCTCACGGGATTTGTTTTGCTTTATTAGAGTTGAAAATTAATGCTCTTTTTTTCCCCATTTGAAATCATAATCTGCCTTTTGCTTGCCCAGCACAAAAGTCCTGACTCTCTAATATGATCTGAACCTAATCATTTATTTCATGCTGAGTCAGATCAGTATAAGCATTTTATGTGCAGATTTGCACTAAGTTCAGATCTGCTATAACCCAGGCAAACACAAGATAGCAGTAAAGGATTATTTTTCTGGATCTTTTTGCCGCCCTCTATTGGTTATACAGATCTTGCAATTTAAATACATAGGTAGTACAGTAGCAGTAGCAGTTGACAGCTAGAAGTTGCACATCATTTTCTAAGTGCGTGGAGTGGCTTTCGTACTAAATACGAAAAACAATACTCAATGGAAGTGAAAGAAACTGCGTATGATGGGGGGGAAAGGTTGGAAGTTAATTATTATTGCAAAAGACAAGGAAGAAAGATGGACAGAAAAAAGTAGTTGAAAAAGAACAATCAAAGAATAAAGACTAGAAGACTGAAAAGTCCCAGGGTATTAGAAAAAGTTAGGAAAGTGAATGGAGATATGATTGATGGGTTGACAGTCACTTAGATCTGGTATAGACTACCTGACAGCTGAGGAAAAAGGTCATTCTTGTTCCTTGTCCCTTTGTCATATTAATGAAATGTAATTTGTTCTTTGATTGAACTGAGAGATCTCTGTAAGTAGCACAGTTTCAGGAAAGAGTGATCTTGTCTTTTCTTTCATGTTTTGTCCTTATGTTCTCCTGAAACTGTCCCTCTTCTTCCACCAGATGAAATATGTGACTATTTTGGGGTGAAGATTGCCATGTACTTCGCATGGCTGGGCTTCTATACGTCAGCCATGGTGTACCCTGCTGTGTTTGGCTCCCTCCTTTACACCTTCACAGAGAATGATCAGGTGAGGCATTGGAGTACAGAGCGATGGCATGGTGGCCTTCTGGATTTGTCCTACTTCTGTCTGAAGAAGCTGAGAATCAGATTTCTGGTAGGCCTATGTATATGCGGCAGTCATCTTCATTCTTTCTGTTTTTTCATAATTCATTACTTTTTTCCTTCCTTCTCTACGTCTCTATCAAATAATAGCAGTTAAACTATGGACAGTGATGGCAAACCTTTTAGAGACCGAGTGCCCAAAAACTGGCCCCGCCTCTGCTCCACCCCCACCCCACCTGCCTGCAGGCCACTCACCGCCTCCAGGGTCCACCGCAGATTACTCAGGCAGCCCAGCAGTGCCATGGCGGCCACTTCCTCTGCCCGCACCCTGCAGCATCAACTATGCGGGATGGGGCATGAAGACAGAGTCTTGTCTACACTGCCTGGCTGCCATGTCCTTGGCTGCCCTGCTCCGTGTGGACCACGCTTGGGGGCAACTCTCCTCCCGGGGGGCTGCTGGTGAGGAGGGGGCTGTGGGGGAGGCGAGGCTGGGGCAACGGGACATGTGCCCACAGAGAGGGCTCCAAGTGCCGCCTCTGGCACGCATGCCATAGGTTCGCCACCATTGCTATAGGATATTTGGCACCTTAGACCCCAATATCCATTAGAAGCCCCTTAAATACCTTGTGAACTGTGAACTATAAAGTTTGAAATATTAGATATTTTGAAACAGCTAAATATTTCAAATATTAATATATATTTGAAATAGTCAATATTGTTGGGGTACAAGCCAAATATCCTACAGCTTAATTGTTATTATTGATAGAGGTGAAGAGAAGAAAGGAAAAAAGTAATGAAGTGAGGAAAAAAGAGAAAGTATGAAGATTACTGATGTATATACATAGCTGGAGAAGACTCCTGCGAGTCCCTTGGACTGCAAGGCGTTCAAACCGGTCAGTCCTAGAAGAGATCAACCCCGACTGCTCTTTAGAAGGCCTGATCCTGAAGTTAAAACTCAAATACTTTGGCCACCTAATGAGAAGGAAAGACTCACTGGAGGAGGGCCTAATGCTGGGAAAGATTGAGGGCAATAGCAGAAGGGGACGACAGAGAAGGAGGTGGCTGGATGGAGTCCTGCTTTATGATCATTTAACGCTCCAATTTTATTTTTGCCAAGAAGCTCCTAATCCTGTTAGGCAAGGAATTGCAAAGGAAAAACCAGAAGAAAATTAAGTGTCAGCAATTTTAGCATCGCCATTTTACAAACTTTCTTGCTGCAGTTAAGCGAGTAACTGCAGTTGTTGAGATGGTAACACAGTTGTTAAGTGAATCTGGCTTCTCCATTGATGTTGCTTATCAGAAGGATGCAAAAAGGGATCATATGACCCCAGGATACAGTCATAAATATGAGTCAATTGCCAAACATCCAAATTTAGATCACGTGATCATGGGGATGCCTCAGTGGTCATAAGTGAGAAAAATGGTCATACGTTTTTCAGTGCCATTGTAACTTTGAACGGTCACTAAACAAACTGTTGTAAGTCAAGGACTACCTGTATAGGATTTATGTTTGTTTCTTTAGAACAGTTTATTGTGTTATTCGTTCCTTTATTGGCTACTTTTCAGAGTTATCTGTGCCAGAGTAGCTCATAATGTTATTTAAAAATCCTAATCTGGTTATTCCAGAGATATAAAATTATAATAAATAAATAAGATACTAATGAAAACTACAAGTAGAATAAAACAATTGTTTAAAAACCCCAGTTAGGATAATTAAAGAAAAACTCTATGTTTGCCTTAAAAATAAATCATTGAATTCACACATAACTTTCTAGGAATATATTTCTAGAAAATTAGTGGAAAGGGCCCCATGGCCAGTTCTCATCACCCCAAAACTTTTTATTCATTGATTTTATTTATGAAATTTATATGCTTGTAAACCTAGCAGTTTGAAAGCATGCAACTGCAAGTAGATAAATAGGTACTGCTTTGGTGGGAAAATACCAGGGACATGACAAGATCCCCTTCAGGCATCCCCTGGGCAACTGTGATATCACCTGATAATCCTTTCAACCTAATCCTTTCAATCCTTTCGACACGAATATAGTAGTAATTTATAGGCCACCCTTCTCACTCTCCAAAGGTTCTCTGGATTATCGGAGGTAGGCAACCTTGGCTTTTTTATGACTCGTGGACTTCAACTCCCAGAATTCCTGCACCAGCATGGCTCAGCTTGGAAACCTCTCCCTTTCCCCTCAGCATGGCTGGCTCAGGAATTCTGGGAGTTGAAGTCCACGAGTCATAAAAGAGCCAAGGTTGCCTACCCCTGGGATAGGTGAATTCTTGCTGAAGGACCATAGAATTGAGCCTCAGCTTCGGCTACAAATTATGATGATGTGAAAATGTTGATACATGCATTTTGATATTGTGATGAATACATGGTCATATTAAAGGCTCGGGTAGACTTCTTTGGAATCAGGGAACGTATGTGTCACTCAGGGTGCATAGGTGTTCCATTTATAATAATAATAATAATAATGATAAAGTTGGAAGGGACCTTGGAGGTCGTCTAGTCCAACCCCCTGCTCAGGCAGGAAACCCTATACCATTTTGGACAAATGGCTGTCCAGTCTCTTCTTAAAAACTTCCAGTGTTAGAGCATTCACCGCTTCTGGAGGCAGGTTGTTCCACTGGTTAATTGTTCTAACTGTCAGGAAGTTTCTCCTTAGTTCTAGGTTGCTTCTCTCTTTGGTTAGTTTCCATCCGTTGCTTCTTGTCCTGCCTTCAGGTGCTTTGGAAAATAGCTTGACTCCCTCTTCTTTGTGGCAGCCCCTGAGATATTGGAACACAGCTATCATGTCCCCCCTCGTCCTTCTCTTCGTTAAACTTGACATACCCAATTCCAGCAACTGTTCCTTATATGTTTTAGCCTCCAGTCCCTTAATCATCTTTGTTGCTCTTCTCTGTACTCTTTCTAGAGTATACTAACCCATCATATACTTACCCATCAAACCCTTTGCAACATAGGTTTGCAGCAACCCCTACAGGCAGCTGTGGGCAACTCTAAATCAGCCTGTAATTGTTGCATGATGTTGCATGCAAGTATGGATGGAAGTCAGTGGCTTGGGCCATGTCACAACACACACTGTATCCTCTCCTTTAACCCTCAAGAGTGCCAATGGGTCTGAGCAACTAATGACAACATTCTGGCAGATTGACATGGATGCAACTGATCCCTGGCCCTGTCTTAACTTTATAAAGGTTAAAACCATTTTTCTTTGGCACTTGGAACCAAATAGGCTATGAAAGTAGAAGTGCTGAAAAGGTGTAATATGATCAAAGCCCTGAACTTTTGTGAATCTTTTGATGTCACATTCTGCCAAATGAAGATTTGTTTGTTTTTTTAAAGGAAGAGATAATGATACAAGCAGTAACTGGGTTACTTTCACTTTAGAGTCCAACTTGGCTTTCAGCTGTTGAGGTAAAGACTTCCTTCAGTTCTTAACGAGCAGCCTCTCTGTGGATAGACAAGGAGGCTAATCTACCACCTGATAGCTAAGGAATGTAGACTGGTGCAGTTGTGACTCTTTGAGACTCTAAGCATACCATTATGTGGTGTGTATTACAGTAAACTCCAGACTTGTGCCACTTAAGACGAGATCGCAAGATCTTCCTTCTCCAAATGCAATCATACTTGGCAAACCACTGAAAGTAGGCAGAAATAGAACAGGGATGCTTGGAATCGGTTAGAACTTAACTGGGTCTGTTCGAAGTCCCACTTTGTGCTATTCTAACAGTGGAAAGCTTTATTTCTCTACCAAGAAGACAATCTAGAAACAATAAGTGTCCTTTGTAATTCTCTCCAGGATCTTGTAATCAGATTACCTACCTGCATTCACTGGGATTCTGCTTACTATCCTGGCTAATGATTTGACATTTTCTCTATAGTTTCTCAGTGTTTAAAAATGTAACCAAAAGACCCTAATTCAACCTGTAGCTGCTAATGCCGTAAGTTAATTAGTTCTTGTATGTTGTACCTATCCATTCCCTATGGACATGTACAAAAATCCAGTGCCTTTAAATGATGATCAGACTTAAGTTAACCAAGGATGGATCTGACCTCTGTAATAGATAGTCTTCAATGTGCAACCATTTGTTTAATGACCATTTGAAGTTACAACAACACTGAAAAAATGACTTACAACTTTTACAACTGTTGCAGCATCCCCACAGTCACATGATCACAATTTCGGTGCTTGGCAACCAGCATGTATGTATGATGGTTGCAGTGCAACCCTCATGTGACAGCCTTTTGCCATCTTCCCAGCTAGTTTCTGACAAGCAAAGTCACTAAGGGAAGCTGGATTTGTATAACAACCACATGATTCACTTAACAACCGTAGTGATTCGCTTAACAACTGTGGCAAAAAAGATCATAACATCGGATTAACCACCACCCTGCTTAGCAACTGGAATTCTGGTCCTAATTGTCATTGTAGATGGAGGCCCACCTGTCATCATAACCAATTAAGTAAATGAAAACTATCAAAGGCTGTGACGTCCCAGATGAACTTCTGGGAAACATCTGAGCATTGTTAAGAATAGGGTGGTGGATCAGATGGATGATTTGATCTTTTGAAAGGGGATCTTCTCTCTTGCTCAATGGTTACTAGTATCCATGGTTAACAATGCACCTTCCAGCTTCAAAGGCAGTCTACCTTTACTAGGGTAACCTGCTGTATCCTCCACAATGCTTCTGATCACCAACTAACCCTAAGGATTTTACCACCAAACCAGTCCCTATTTTTTGGCTTCAGAGAGAGAGAGAAAAAATCCTGATTTTATATATATAATGACTAGGTATGAGTACGACAAAGGAACCTGTTTGTGCAAAGGTGAGATGTCAAATCCAAGGAGCGTGTGAAATGTCCCTGTTTTGAAATATTTCAAGTGCAGCATCCTATTTTGAGTGGAACAGACTGTCTGGAACATTTTGAAAAGATTTCAGATTCAAAAACAGAGATGCTGCAAGCCTAAAACACTTACATTTGTTGTCTGAACAATCCCATCCTCAAAGCAGCACCATTCATATTTGAAATGTGACATGTCTGAAATTTTGTGCTAGGAATGTTTTGGAATGAAACATTTGGCACACTACTGCTAAGGTGCAGAGGAAAGGGCTGTTCCCTTCATGTCATCAGATCTATCTGGCTGGCCATTATGGAAAGGTGAATTTTGAGTTAAATTATAGGCCAAGATTACTGGTTTGTAATAAGATAAGATAACCTTTATTGTCATTTTTATACTGTGGGCACAATGGCACACATCAAAAATGAAATTTAGTTGCCCGCTCTCAAAGTAAAACACATACATGACACAGACCTAAACATACTATGAACAACATATGTATAGACCCACATCCCTACATATACGTAGCAAACAAATATTAAATATTGTCCATCTTGAATATATAACGGAAGGAGGAAGCTTGAGAGTTCGCAAGGGTAATGCTGTATGGAATGAAATTCTGGCTGAATCTGGATGTTCTGCTTCGGATACCACGAAGCCTCCTCCCAGAAGATAACAAGGAAAACAGGTCGTGAAGAGGATGTGTAGTGTCCCAGATAATCTTACGGACTCTGCTCAAGCAGCACTTCTGTGCTATGTCCTGGATGGAGGGAGGGAACTGCCAATGATCTTTTCGGCCATTCTCACCGCTCTCTGCACCGCCTTCCAATCCTTAGTGCTCTTTGAGCTTGGTTGTTTTCTTGCAAACATTTCGTCCCCCACACTAATATCTACCCAAACATCTATCCAAATTAACATCTAACATCATCAGTATGGACTAATAATCCTGAGCTACAAATATTCTTCTTTATTGTGACATACTCATCCCAGAATTGTTGGAGTTGATTTTTCTGATTGATGGTTAGCTGGGATAGGCAACCCTCTTTAGAAACTGTTAAACTGTCCAAAGAGTGGAAATTCCAGTCCTTCTGTTGCTCTTCATTAATCATCTCTTTCCCTCCTAATTAGACCAGCCGGGACATTTGCTCTGTTATATTTGCCATCTTCAATGTTATTTGGTCCACCCTGTTCCTGGAGGAGTGGAAACGCCGGGGAGCCGAATTTGCGTACAAGTGGGGAACTTTGGACACACCAGCAGAATCCATTGAAGAGCCTCGGCCACAATTCCGGGTCAGTAGTATCTCATCTAGCTCAGAAAAGAAGAAAATACAAGTTTAATAAATAATAATTTGTGCTGTCCATGTCCATGGAAAAAATCTAGGCATGTCACACACATATATCTCAACATTCATAGTCATCCACCAATCATTTAGCCCAGGACTCTCTGCTCTGATTTATTAATTAAATTTATATGCCTTTGTTGGGTCTAACATGGCACTCCTTACGATTTTAAATGGGCACCTGTTACTTGCAAGAGGGAGAAAACTCTATACAGCAAGGCTAGGGAGATAGATTTGCCTAAAATCCAGTCTTCCCTCTAACCTAGTTAGCCCCCAAAAGTTGAGAACCTGGAAAAAAACTGAGTGCCAGCAACATGGACCAAAATCTGCAGGTGACGGCAGGAGTAACAAAAGAATTACAACTTACAGAGCCATAATGGGCTGGTTCCATAACGGTTCTAACGCGAAGACTACCTGCAGTTGTTCTCTTGATCCTGTAACAAGCCTAGGGAGAGTCCCCAAAGAATCCCCCAAGAGCCCCCCCCCAACTCTTGGTGATGTCAATGGCGTCATCTCCTTTCTTTACAGGGTGTGAAGCGCATCAGCCCAGTGACCAACACAGAAGAGTTCTACTACCCGCCTTGGAAGCGGTTGCTCTTCCAGTGTTTGGTGAGCTTGCCCATCTGTATCTTCTGCCTCTCCTTTGTCTTCCTTACCATGCTGGGCTGCTTCGAATTGCAGGTGAGGTGTTCCTGGCATTGTGGGTAGACAGGGCCCACAATCCAGTCCATGTGCCTTTTCTCATTTACTGTTTCCATCAGATGTCCTGGCTGCTCATCACACAATACTGGCCTTCTCTTGCCCCAGTCTAAGATTTAAACAGTGTTATGCTGACCCTTAATGCTCTGAAAAGAAAAGGGATGTTTCGGCTATCACAGAGCCATGATGTATAATTTTTACAATGCTTCCTGCACTTTCAGGGAAGATATATTCATTTTACATCTTACTCAGTTTAATTACTCAGTCATTGTTAGTCCTGGGGGGGGGGTGGCATCATATCTTGTGGAGGAGGGTGGGAAATAATGCCATTGGCTGCTCATGAGCCAATCATCATCCTTAGAATATTCTCCCAACCACTACTATCAATGAGGATAATGCATTTTATTAGCTAGCCAAGGCTGCAATGTAAATTTAGATAATATATCACTATTTGGTCATGAATATTATATCAGTCCTGAATAGCAAGGGTTAAAATATCCCATGCAATGCAACTGAATAAACCAGAATAGTAGCACATTTAATTTCTCTTAGCTTAGCTGTGGTTCTTCCATTGTTTCCCCACTGAGGATGTTGCTGATCTGGATAGCAACCACAGCTGGGTACCATATTACTATCCTAACAAATTGATGCTTTGAGACAACACATATCTAAAGCAGATGTGTGGACTCCCAGTATTTATTTCCTAGGAGAGATGGCTGGGGAATTCTGGGAGTTGAACTCCATAGATCTTAAAGGTGCCAAGGTTTGACAAACACTGCTGTAAAGGTTCCCTAAAGATGCAATTCACATCATTCAATTGCAGTGGTTCAGGTATGGCCTGCACATCTTAGGAAAAGCAGTAATTAGTGCACTACGTTTGGGAAGTAAGAGTTGCTGAAGCTAGAAGGTGGATTCATTCTTTGGAACAGCCCCTGTGGACATTCGACTTGCCTCCATCCTTCTGACATTTAGGAAAACACTTAAACTGAGCCCTTTTGTGGAGCATTTTTAGATTGAGCTGATGCCATCTGTTAATTAGGCTACTAATTGAATGACAGGATTAATCTGGTGGATATGTGCTAGTAATTGATGTTATTGATTGATATTGACTGACTTCTATTATTACTTTATCACAGATATTATTTTTATACAGTGTATTGGCAATGTTTTAAATGTGTTTTGTTAACCAGCTAGAAGTCTTGATTGAAATAGAGAAATGTAAATTGAATGAATGAATGGAAGGATGATAGATAGATAGATAGATAGATAGATAGATAGATAGATAGATAGATAATAGAGATAATCCTTGACTTATGATCACAACTGGGACCAGAATTTCTGTTGTTAAGCAAGTCAGCTAATAAATAAGTCTCACTCAATTTTACTACTATTTTTGCAGTGGGTGTGAAGTGAATCACTGCAGTTATTAAGCAAATCAGGTGATCGTTAAATGAATCCAACTGTCCCCATTAACTTTGGTTGCTTGAAGCTAGATGGGGAGGTCACAAATGGGGATCACAGGGTCCTGGGATGCTGTAATCATCATAAATACATGCTGGTTGCCAAGCACTTGAATTTTGATCCCGTGACCGTACTGTAATGGTCATAAGTGCGAGGACCAGATGTAAGTCACTTTTTTCAGTGTAACTGTGAATGATTGCTAAATGAATGTTTGTAAGTAAGGACTATCTGTAGGCAACTTTGTTGGTGGTCAAACTAGCTTAGGGTGGTTGTTTTTTTGGAAAATGCTTAAATTCATAGCATAGAAATAATTGAGCAATAGAAATTGGTAGAAATAAGGAGCCTCTGCCCTTACGAAAAGCCATTTGTCTTTACCAATGTGATCTAACCCTGGTTCTCCAATTTGTTTCTTCCTCCACCTTGATCAGGAATTTGTGCTGAGCATCAAGGAGCTGCCACGCCTTGTTCGCTTCTTGCCCAAAATCATGCTGGCCGTCATCGTCACCGTCTGCGATGAAGTCTACAGAAAAATTGCCTACTGGTTAAATGACATGGGTAAATATCCACAATGCACATCTTCTGATCCAAAGAAAACTAACCTTAAATGGATCAGAGGAAACTTTTTAATTGTGTCCAACCCAAGAGATGCGCAGAATCTGGGAATTTCTAGAAGCAGTCCAGATCATCGTTTCTCAACTTGGCAACTTTAAGACAAGGTTTTAAAACAAGGTTTTGCATGCTAGTAGGCATTTTCTCTCCCCCCCAACTCCTTATTTTGATATATTTTTTGTTTGGGGAAAAATTGCTCTCACTCTGGCAAACACTCCTTGGTTTTAGAGGTATAGCAATAGGAATTACCTTCAGCAGTTTGATTGCCATGCTTGTGTTATTTTAAAACTTACAATAACTGATGAAGGTCATAATCAGGTGCTTTGAAAATCTGCTTCTTGGAAAAAAAGAGAAGTTTTTGTTTCTGGCCTGTAGTTTTTTTCATAGAATGCTGAGACATCAGTTATGAAAGATAGAGAAGCATTTGCAAGATCGAATCTGGGTTGGTAACTGGCACCAGAGAGTTACTCTTCCGAGCTTTGGGACTCATGCTGGAGCCCATCTTCAAGGAACTTCTCTCTACTGGAATATGTGCTAAATACGACGCACAGAATAGCCCAAAGTACGTATTCCAGTAGAGAAGCACAAGTCCCAAAGCTCGAAAGAGTAAAAGCACAAGTCCCAAAGCTCGAAAGAGTAATTCTCTGGTCCCGATGACCAACCTGGATTGCAACATCATCCTGGGACATGTATATTTGCTTTCATTCGTGCCTGGCTGAGGAATTCTGGCAGTTGAAGTCCTCAAGTCATAAAAGGGCCAAGTTTGAAGAGCCCTGGTCTATGGAGATTCTCAACCATCCAGGTTATGGTTGCCCCAGCAGTGTTTTTTCCGAAAGGTAACTGAACTTTCTCGGTTTTCTCCTTTCAAAACGCTTTGCTTCTCATCCAAGAAGCTTCTTCAGTTCACCAGGACTTCACCGGAACTGGAGAAGTTTCTTGGATGAGAAGTGAAACATTTTCAAAAGAAGAAAACCCAAGACAGTCCAGTTGCCTTTCGGAAAAAGCATCTTTAGTTCATACAGAAGCATTGCAACAAAAGTACCTGAAGCTACGGTTAAGCTGGGATGGACCCTCACTTTATGTACTTCTTCTTAGCTTCTCACCAGCACTTGCCTGATATAAGATATGGTACCAGATAAGTCCATTTGGATCTGATCTGGCAAGTCTGGCCATACCTGTCAAGTGTCATTCCTGTGCCTCCACTAAATGCCAACTAATCGACAATCAGTCTCTAGACTCCATTGCATAGACAGCAGATAATGGCCTGTATCAAATTCTCAGCCATAACGTACATCATCAGATATATAAAAAAGATGGCTACTACTCAGAGAATGTTTGCCAGGAATACCAGTATTCATTAAATTGTTGACACATGGTACCCAAAGAGGTTTGTTTGATTGATTGTTTATCATATTTATTGATCACCCATCTTACTGCAGGGACTTCTGGTAAGGCTCACCACAGCCACTGAGAAGTATAAGGAACCGCCTCAGCTAGCCACCCAAGAAAGCAGAACTCTTGAAACAGGCATTGTCTCAAAAGGAAACTTTTATTAGGGGTTAGTGACTGTAGGGAAGTCAAGGCGAGATCTGGGGAAAATCCCCTTAAACGGTATAGTTCAGGCATGTCAAATTCACAATGTCACGTGACGTTGCGCAACGTATAGGGCCGGTTTTGCCATTGCTGGCAATGGGGTGGACGCGGCTTCTATGTGACACGTCCAGCCCACAGGCCGGCAGTTTGATACCCATGGTATAGTTAAACTAGTAATATTCTTCCTCCCACCAGAGTCATAATGTCCATTTGAAATTCAGCCAATCCACAGCTGGCACGATGTATGGGTGACCGGTACTTCTCAAGGTCTTCTCCAGTTTCTTTTCTCTGTAACTGTCTCCCTGATAAGGGAGACACATTCCTTTCTCAAGTGGTTAGAGGCAGGAGAGGAAAGGTAGAAAGCAAAAGTTATCCCAAGCGAAAGCAAATTCCCCCCCCCCCCTTCCCTCAGCAGAATGGCAGGCCCCAAAACAGGAGCACATAAGCATGGAAAACAAGAAGGATTTGGGGCCCTGACAAGAAGACAGTTTATTCTGGTTGTAGAAAAGACCCACCTAATTCCAAACTGCCACGTTTTACCTCCTCCTCATTCCTTTTCCTTGCAGAAAATTACCGCTTGCAGAGTGCCTACGAAAAACACCTCATCATCAAAATGGTCCTGGTAAGTCAAGCCTTTTTGAAACTTCTGTTTCAGTTCTAAAAGTAGGACACAGTCTCAAAAAATCTAACAGGATGAGTTTCTCCAGACAGGGGCCTATTAGTTTTGATGACTTCAAATTTTTTTGGTGAGCCTCTGTTGCCGAGATTAGATTTAGTCTTCAACTTACAGCTGGTTGCTTAGTGACCATTTGAAGTTCCGATGGACCTATTGGGGAGATACCTGTGACCCAGACTTGATGTGCTGATGGTCAGCTCCTTGCCCCCCCCCCCGGGGTCACATTTCAGACTTCAGGTACTTGGCAAATAGGCCACATAGATGGCAGTTTGCAAGGTATTTTACAAAAACAAATGGCCCTTTGTTTTTTGGCAAGACTGGGCCATAGCAAACCATGGGTTCACTTAATGACCACTGTGTTTGCTTAATGACCACCATGTTTACTTAAGGACTGATGCCAAAAAGTTCATAAAATCATGTAACCAACTTACTTTAGTCCTGTCACATTGTAGCTCCATGACGGTCGTGACTCAATGGCTATCTGTAATGCTTCTATTTAATGCTGCTAATCACACTGATCCACCCAAATGTTGGTGGTGATGGGGTGTGCAAAAATGCACACTTTCTCTTTATCTGGACTGTTGATTCTCAATGAAAGTCATTTTGTTTTGATTTCAGCAGGACTGTTTTTGTTAAACGATTCAGCTATAGCCCCTCCGTAAATTGCCCAAACCTAGAGATAAACAATGAGACAGTCTTAATCTTGTTACATCAATTCTTTCTCTTATGGCTTCTCTCTCTTTCTCTTCTCCAAACAGTTTCAATTTGTAAATTCATACCTAAGTCTTTTCTACATTGGATTCTACCTCAAAGACATGGAGCGCCTCAAGGAGGTATGGCATTCGTGAATGTGGGAGATCACAGCCAAGGGAAAATGGGAAGGGGGTAAATTGCACTGGGCTTCATTCCAACCAGTAACAGTGTTGGTCAAAGGTAAATATGCCATTTTTATCAGGATATGTTTACGTCCAAAAATGTCCCCGGGGCATTCAAAAAAGTTGCATCCCAGAAAGCCAAGGACTATCAGCCACTTTGAATCCATTCCTAACATGGTTTTCTTCCTTCCTTCCTTTTTTTATGGGTTCTTTTAATTTTTCATGGTTTTTTTCTCTCTCTCTTTGTCTCTCTGTCTTGTCCGTATTGCCCTCCACAGCTCCTGCTCATCTTTTCTCTCTTGCAAAGCCTTGTGCGTCAGCTTAAAGACGCGGTCCTTCCCTCCATCACTCTGCAACTTCACCTCTATCTCATCTCCTTTAAGGGTTTGCTGAGTTTTTGCTGGCATCTGGGCATCTCCAAAGTAGGATCCTGACGATGGAGGGTATATGGAGGGTGTGTGTGTGTGTGAAGAGGAATAAGCAGGCTGCAGAACCTCAGCTGCAATCCCATTTATTTGGTCCGATGCATTGTAAGAAGACTTGCTTTCCCATTACCAAAAGAAAGAGAAGTTTTGCAGTTACAGCTCTGACCAAGATTTACTTAAGATTGGTGAAAAATGATGAAACCAGCATGGGGTGGGCTCAACAGGCTTTCAGAATGGAAAGCAAAAAGAGTTTTGAAGTAATTGAGTGCTCACCTGCCTACAACGCCTTCAAGAAATTCTGATTTTTGGCAGGATGGTGTTGTCCTTTGCAGAGAAATAGGATACTGGGAAAAATGTGTTTGGTTCAAAGAGTCACACTTCTAGAGTATTTTTTTGCCTTCAATCCAAAATGCTGCTCCATCCTAAGACTTAAACACTCTTAGATAAGAAATCACATATAGCAGGCTACAGTCTTACGACCACTTTCTGGTAACAGAAACTTAGCTTGTTTCCAAACAATAAGAATTAAGATCCAGATTGTAGGGTCTAATAATACATTTTGGTAAGAAAGATAGTTCCTAAATTTGCAAATAACTGCACACTTAATATTAGATTAATTTTGACATTTTAAAGACAGGTTGGTTTCAGCTAAATTAGTATTCTAGGACTTCCATCTAGTTCCTCTTATTTAAGCTCTTGCTTTATTTTTTATTATATCCAGATAGTGCGGACTTAGGAATTTAGCTTCAGGCCCTTGTACCCTTCTCATAAAAAAAATTGCTTATACTTCTTTCTTAATGGTAAATTATATAACTTAGCTTTTTTCTCCAAATTATGCCCAGTGATGATGGTGATGATGATAGATTTACATCAGCAAACAATCTCAGCTAGATACTTAGATGAAAGGAAACTAGAGAAATAACATCAGCATATGATGTTAATCTATTTAAATGGTTACTTTTTAAGAGGCAAGTCAAATTAAGGTCTAAATAATTTATAAAAGTTTGCCTATTTCTCACAAATGCATTATTTTGACTTTTTTTTGCTGTTGAAGCTTAGAGTTATAGAATGAAAGGGCTGGAGGGGTCTTAAGATCTACTTCAAATTTTCTTGATCTTGACAACTTTAAGATGTATAGACTTCAATTCCCAGAATCCCTCAGCTAACATGTTGCCAAGGTTGAGAAACACGGATCTCACTACATCAATCCCAAGGCCATCCATCCTTGTTTGTTCCATTGTTGACCAGTTTTTACCATTAGGAAAAACCTGCCAATGTCCACCCAATTGTATGATGTTTTTTATGGCAGTTGTTCAGTGAATCCGTGGTGTTACACGAACTCCATTATTTGCTGTGACTCATTTTTGCTGAAAACTGGAAGTAAACTCCAGCTTTCAGCAAAAATGTTGTAAACTGTGGTCACATGACTGCAGAACACTGCAAATGGCCATAAATGTGGGCCAGTGGCCACATGTCCAAAATACAGTCATATGACTATGGAGGGAGCCTGGTCATCAACACTTCAGAACCAGGTTGTAAATACTTTTTAGGGGTCCGTTGTAACTTCAAACAGTTACTAAGTGACTGCTCATAAGTCAAAGGTTGGCTGAGGAATTTTGGAAGTTGAAGTCCATAAGTCATAAAAGGGCCAGGTTTGAAGACCCCTGTTTTATGGAGACCCCAATTACAAAGAAAACTTTCTTACAACTGATAAGCGTGCAGTATAACATGAAGGGAGAAATTGCCAACCATGTTCCTGGATTCCATATGCTCTCCAAAGCAATTCTTAAAAATTGGTGAGTTGTCACAGCTTTGTTGGAAGTGAGCTCATCTAGTCAGGCAAAAGTGAAAGTGAATATAAGCTAAAGTAGTAAAGAGTAAACTAAAGAGTGGAGGCCAACTTCAATGTTTATGTCTTCTGATACTTTATGATTCATTCTGACCATCACAACAACCATTTTGTGAGCATACCCACAACATTCTCTCAAAATCTGAAATGTCCCCGCTAGAACAAAAAGGGTTTGGAGGCTCTTGCTTTCTACGTAGCCGAGGATTGAGGTTTCCCCTTAAAATAATATTTTTAGGATGGCCTATAAATTTATTGGATGGTTCAATTCCAGAGATGAGTAGCTATTGTTACTAAGGAATAACTGGCTGAGAATGACAGGCAGGGAGCACCTTGTCCTACTTCATCAGCCAAAATAGATGCTTCAGTGTGTCCAGCTGATTGACCATCTCACAACTCTCCCCAGGTATGAGGGGCAGAGGGAATACTATTGTGAACAAGAGGAAGAGCAGCTACTAAGACAACTGTCAGATAAAAGAAAGCTGAATCCAGGGTGAAATTGTACTCTGAAAAGTCATCTCAAACAAGACCCTCCCTAGTTCTCATGAAGATGAAGTATTAATACCACTTTATAGTACCTTGGTAAGACCGCACTTGGAATACTGCATCCGGTATTGGTCGCCACGATATTAAAAAAAGATATTGAGACTCTAGAAAGAGTGCGGAGAAGAACAAAAATGATTAGGGGACTGGAGGCCAAACCATAAAGAACAGTTGCAGGAATTGGGTATGTCCAGTTTAATGAAAAGAAGGATAGGAGTGACATGATAGCAATCTTCCAATATCTAAGAGGATGCCCCAAAGAAAAGGAGGTCAACCTATTCTCCAAAGCACCCAAAGGCAGGACAAGAAGCAATGGGTGGAAACTAATCAAGGACAGAAGCAACCTAGAACTAAAGAGAAATTTCCTGACACTGAAAACAATCAGTGGAACAAATTGCTTCCAGAAGTTGTGGGTGCTCCAACACTAGAGCTTTTAAAAAAAGAGTGGACAGCCATTTGTCTGAAATGGTATAGGGTTTCCTGCCTGAGTAGGGGGTTGGATTAGAAGACTCCAAGGTCCCTTCTGTATTCTATAAGATAAAGGGAGGGGTTAAAGACTTGTAAGATTCTGTTACCATAACCTCATGAAAAAAAAAATAGTATTGAGCTGCATGACTTTTGCTTCCTAGTCTTGTCTGTCCTGAAGGGCTAATACCTGGATGCCTTACTCTTCCCTCCTGCCTTTTTCAGATGCTGGCTACACTCCTCATCACCCGCCAGTTCTTGCAGAATATTAAGGAAGTCTCTCAGCCCCACTTATACAGCAAGTTCAAGCGTGGTGACTTCAGTATGCAAAACCTTCGGGAGGTGACCCATACCCTCTTCCGCCTGCTGACCCAGAAGTACACGTTCACCACATCGTATGGCACCAACCCTCGGCACCCCAGGCATGGTGACTCGCCGGCGGGCCATAGGCCAGAGGTCCACGAGGCCCCAGAGGGGGCCGCCAAAGGGGAGAAGAAATGCCTCAATGGGGGGTGCGGCGTGCCTGAAGAAGAGGAAGAGGAGAAGAAGGAATCGGACTCAGAAGACGAGAGCATCATTGACTGTGGGTTGAAGCTGAAAAAAGTGAGCTTTATTGAAAAGGCCGACCGCAAGACGGGGGATCCCAGTTTAGAGGACATGAGCTTCCTGGAAGAAGGTAGTCCCACCATGGTGGAGAAAGGGATGGACCCGTCCTCGGTCTTTGAGCTGTGTGAGGATGATGATGAGAGTGATGAAGCCTCAGAGAGCCCGTTTAAGACCCTACCAGAAGCTAAAGAGCCAGCTGTTATTATGCGGACTCGGAGGGCACGGGTGGGCAAGAACCTCACAGAAGGGGAGGAAGAAGAAGAAGAAGAAGAGGAAGATGGTTATGAGAATCGAAGACATGCCAGATCCTCATGGATCGATCCACCAGAGGAGAACTACACCACGCAGCTTGCCCAAGCCGAAGTGGAGAGCTGCATGAAAAAATATGAGGTAAGACCCACATGTGCTTCTCTAATAGGCAAGCAGGCCATTAGTGTGATTATTGATTAATTAGTCTATTTAATTAATTGGTATTTGGACCTTTCTTTAAAAAAAAACTATCCATTATGAAAGATGGTGACTTCTGAAAGTTACTCATTTTTGCTATCTTTGGAGCTCCTTCCCGCAAAAGAAAACAAGGCGGCTTCAGACACCAAGTGCTAAACTTCAGAATAAAAGAAGTTTAGAAAAGAACAAATGAGTAAGGTGCTGCATGGGCTTTGTAGTTCTCTCTCGCACATGCACACACAAGACATCCTGACATTTTGATCCTGTCCCAACCCAGGACACTTTTCAAGATTACCAGGAGATGTTCATCCAATTTGGCTACGTGGTCCTCTTCTCGTCGGCTTTTCCCTTGGCTGCACTGTGTGCCCTGATCAACAATATCATTGAGATCCGGAGCGATGCCTTCAAGTTGTGTACGGGGCTCCAACGGCCCTTCGGGCAGAGGGTGGAAAGCATTGGAGAGTGGCAGGTGAGCCTGGATTTTTCATCTGGATGCAACTAACCAGTGGAACGGCTTCCCTTAGGAAGTTGTGGGTGCTCCATCACTGGAGGCTTTTTAAAAAAGAGATTGGAGAGACATTTGTCTGGAATAGTAGAGGGTCTCCTGCTTCAGCAGAGGGTTGGAGTAGAAGACCTCCAAGGTCCCTTCCAACTCTGTTGTTCTGTTCTGTTCCAACTTTCATGAAGGCAACAGTCCCTCCCTTTAATTTATGACCATTCATTTAGCAACAATTGGAAGTTACAATGGTGGTCATGCTGCACCATTGCAGCACCCCCATGGTAACATGATTCGGATGCTTGGCAAGTAGCCTGAATTTATGACAGCTGCAGGGTGTTGGAGGTTTTTTTTAGCATATGGTGTACATAGCCAGGGAAGGTTACAGTGTTTTTTTTACCACAGGGTAGTTCTGGCAGCCTTACTAGTTCACACATGCAAGGCTATCCATGGTGCATCATAGGGGCAAACTAGCTTTGCACCAGCTGGCTAGCAGCGTTTGGAGCTGCAGTGTCCCAAGGTCTCCTGATCCCCATTTGTAATCTTTCCAGATGGCTTCCAATAAGCAAGCCAATGGGGAAAGCTGGATTCACTTAACAGCTGCACAGTTTGCTTAACAACACTGGGAAAAAGTCATGACATTCTTGTGCTGTCACGTGATGAGTCACTTAATGACATTGCCTAACAGAAAAGTTCTGGTCTCAGTTGTGTTTGTAAACTGAGGACTAACTGTATTCTGAGGTAGATTGCACCTGATTATGAAAGCTTTATTTAGTTACCTAAAAGCCATTGATTGACAGCTCACTGCTCCTCTTCCACAAATGAATTTTCCCCCCCTTTTGGTGAAAATCACTGGCTCGGTAGCCATTGCCACATCATACGAGTCCCGTAACTACATATTGGTTGAAGGACATCTCGTTTTGCCTGTCACTCTACGGCTTCCCTCAAGTTTGCTTCCGTTACACTGTATGGGTAGTCCTCGACTTACGACCAAAACTGAGCCCAAAGTTTATGTTCCTAAGTGAGTCAGCTGTTGAGTGAATTTTGCCCTATTTTACAACCTTTCTTGCAACAGTCGTTAAACGAACCACTGCAGTCGTTAAGTTAGTAACATGGTTATCACGTGAATCTAGCTTCCCCCGTTGACTTTGCTTGTCAAAAGGGGATCCCATGATCCCAAGACACTGCACCCATCACAAATAGGAATCCGTTGCCAAGCAAAGGATCACATGACCATGGGGATGCTGCAGTGACTTCGAACTTCAGTCACTAAATGAGTACTGTAAATGGAGGACTACCTATGTATTATGCAGCCTTTCAAGTTGCTAAAAAAAGAGAATGATTCTTCTGAAGTTGGTCCCTGAAAGTGTCTCATTTTTTAAAAAGGCCTTTCTCCCCCCCCCCCTTCCCACTGCAGAAAGTGATGGAGGCCATGGGCGTCTTGGCAATTGTGGTGAACTGTTACCTGATTGGCCAGTGTGGGCAGCTGCAGCGTCTTTTTCCTTGGCTGAGTCCGGAAGGTGCTATAATATCTGTGGTGGTGCTAGAGGTAAGACTGTGACTGGCTTCTTTCTTTCTTTCTTTCTTTCTTTCTTTCTTTCTTTCTTTCTTTCTTTCTTTCTTTCTTTCTTTCTTTCTTTCTTTCTTCCTTCCTTCCTTCCTTCCTTCCTTCCTTCCTTCCTTCCTTCCTTCCTTCCTCCCTCCTCCTTCTTCTTCTTCTTCTTCTTCTTCTTCTTCCTCCTTCTCCTCCCCCTCCTTCTTTCTTCTTCTTTTTCTTCTTCTTCTCTTCTTCCTCCTCCTCCTCCTCCTCTTCCTCCTCCTCCTTCTTCTTCTTCGTCTTCTTCTCTTCCTCCTCCTCTTCTTCCTCCTCCTCCTCCTTCTTCTTCTTCTTCGTCTTCTTCTCTTCCTCCTCCTCCTCCTCTTTTTCTTCTTCCTCCTCCTCCTCCTCCTCCTCCTCCTCCTTCTTCTTTTCCTCCTCCGTGTATAGTCCTCGACTTACAACCATTTATTTAGCAATCATTCGAAGTTAACAATCGCACTGAAAAAAAAAGTGACTTATGACTGTTTTTTCACACTTGCGACCGATGTATCGTCCCCATGGACGATAGAAGAGTATATACAGCAGGGATGGGCAACTATGGCAACTTTACAACTCCTGGACTTCAACTCCCAGAATTCCTGAGCCAACAAAAGTCCAGATGGAGGCTGCCACCATGTAATGGAAGTCCCATTTTTTTTTTTTTTTAGGTGCAGTGGCAACTGACTCATATTTATGACAGTTGCAGACTCAGGGTCCCCTTTTGCGACCTTCTGACAAGCACAGTCAATGGGGAAGCCCTTGACAATCATGTTGCTAACTGAACAACTGCAGTGATTCGCTTAACACCTGCAGCAAAAAAGGTTGTAAAATTGGGGCAAAGCTCACTTAATAATTGTCTTACTTTGCAACGGAAATTTTGAACTCAGTTGTGGTAGTAAGTCGAGGACTAATTATATTATTCCTTTGGTGGACTTCCTAGCTCTCTTTTCTACTGTATATATTTCATATTTATCCAACTACTGAGAAAGAACAGCTGATAATTAGAAGGAGCACTGATACGTCATGATTACAATGCCAGGTTTTTGTTTATTTTGTCCTTTTTTATGATTGTTTTATTTATTGCTCATTTACGGTTGTTGTAAGCTGCACAGAGTTGTGTAAGATGGGCAGCCATATAAATCTTTTAAAAGAATACATTGCTGGATTAAAGCCCGGAACAACAGTTGCACTTATTTTATTATTTTAATAATTTATTATCTTAATAATGATTATGCACTCCAGACTTCACCACTACAGGTATTCCTCAACTTACGACTGCAATTGAGCCCAAAGTTTCTGTTGCTAAGTGAGACAGCCGCAATTTTGCCCCATTTTACGACCTTTCTTGCCACGGTTGTTAAGTGAGTCACTGCAGTTGTTAGGTTAATAACAGGGTTGTTAAATGAATCTGGCTTCCCCATTGTCTTTGCTTGTCAGAAAGTCACAAAAGGTGATCATACAATGCTGGGACGTTGCAACCGTCATAAATATGAGTCAGTTGCCAAGTGTCTGAATTTTGATCATGTGACCATGGGGATGCCTCAGTGGTCGTAAATGTGAAAAACGGTCATAAGTCACTTTTTAAAATTTGGTTGTAACTTTGAATGGTCACTAAATGAACTGTTGTAAGTCGAGGATTATCTGCATTAGGGAGGGGCTGTCTTCATCCTCTTTCTCTCACACATAATATCTGGGCTGAATTCCCTCTTACTCCTCTGGAATGCCCCCCCTCCCTCCCTCCTGGGGTTCCACCTCCATTGCAAGAGCCCCAGAAACACCCTAACCCCCCCAGGCCTGGGAACCCGAGCCAAGTCTTAGGAGGAAACTTGGAAAGTGGGAGCTGAATATATCTTTGGGAATATTTTGGACCACATCATGCAAAGACAACTCATTGGCAAAGATCCTGATGTCTGGAAGCCTTGAAGGCAATGGAAAAAAGCCAAGAGAAGACTGCAAGATTAGATATCATCATTGGTGACTCATCTCACAAGACCTCAAAGTCTAATGATTACTGAACAGCCCTGGCGAAGGAACATTTGTTACATCGTGAGGAGTTAGAAGTGACTGAATAGCAGTCTGTTTCCTGTTGCAGAAGTACACGTTATGCCCAGATCTGAATTTAGCGGTCTGACTTTGAGTTAGTATAAGATCTCAAGTGATAACACTGAAAAATGGAAAGATACCAGACATTGGTTAAATGTTCATATGTTCATATTAGTAAAGTTGGAAGGGACCTTGGAGGTCATCTAGTCCAACCCCCTGCTCGGGCAGGAAACCCTACACCATTTCGGACAAGTGGCTGTCCAGTCTCTTCTTAAAAACTTCCAGTGTTGGAGCATTTACTGCTTCTGGAGGCAAGCTGTTCCACTGATTAATTGTTCTCACTATCAGGAAGTTTCTCCTTAGTTCTAGGTTGCTTCTCTCCTTGATTAGTTGCTTCTTGTCCTGCCTTCAGGTGCTTTGGAAAATAGCTTAATTCCCTCTTCTTTATGGCAGCCCCTGAGATATTGGAATACTGCTATCATGTCCCCCCTTGTCCTTCTCTTCGTTAAACTAGACATACCCAATTCTAGCAACCGTTCCTTATATGTTTTAGCCTCCAGTCCCCTAATCATCTTTGTTGCTCTTCTCTGTACTCTTTCTAGAGTCTCAACATCTTTTTTACATCGTGGTGACCAAAACTGGATGCAGTATTCCAAGTGTGGCCTTACCAAGGCATTGAAGAGTGGTATTAATACTTCACGTGATCTTGATTCTATCCCTCTGTTAATGCAGCCTAGCACTGTGTTGGCCTTTTTGGCAGCTGCAGCACACTGCTGGCTCATATTTAGGTGATTGTCTACTAGGACTCCGAGGTCCCTCTCACAGTTACTACTATTGAGCATGGTGCCACCTATGCTGTACTTGTGCATTTGGTTTTTCTTGCCTAAATGTAGAACCTTGCTTTTTTCACCATTGAATTTCATTTTGTTAGTTAGTGCCCAGTGTTCAAGTCTGTCCAGATCCTTCTGTATCTGAAGCCTGTCTTCTGGAGTGTTGGCTATTCCTGCCAGCTTGGTGTCGTCTGCAAATTTGATGAGTTCCCCATCTATCCCTTCATCCAAATTGTTGATGAAGATGTTGAAGAGTACTGGGCCCAGAACAGAGCCCTGGGGCACCCCACTACACACTTCCCTCCATATAGATGCAGTTCCATTGAGGACCACTCGCTGAGTACGGCCGGTCAGCCAGCTACGGATCCATCTGGTGGTGGTTCTGTCTACCCCACATTTTTCTATCTTATCAAGTAGTAGGTTGTGATCTACTTTATCAAATGCCTTACTGAAGTCCAAGTAAATTATGTCCATAGCATTCCTCTGATCCACTAATTTTGTCACTTGGTCAAAGAATGCAATAAGATTTGTCTGGCATGATCTATTTTTGACAAACCCGTGTTGGCTTTTAGTAATGACTTTGTTTGCGAACTTGCAAGTTTGAGACTTTCCAAGATTTCAGCCCATTTTTAAGAGTACATACATAATTTTTCATTTAAGCAATTTTGACGGATGTAGACACTATCTGTATATATAGTGTAGCAGAGGCCGTGGCATCTGCAGGTACTGATGACCTTTTGTGGTAAGGGCCCGTGCATTTTATTATTTCCTGTAGCTCATTTTGTTATGTAATTTTCCATATAAACAAATGAGGTTAAAAATAATAAAAAAAAACACCTCTCTTATGGAACAAAAATGTTGATTCTAGTTTGCTTTCTGCCTGTGTCTGTCCACTCCACTACCAGACCAGGAAATCAGCTCCGAAGGAAGGGTAAAACTCCTTTATTGAGATTGGTTGAAATAGCAGAATTTTGCAAATCTGATGTAGGTACTATACCTCTCTCCCTTTCTTATACTCCTGTGAATTAGGGAAATGTCTAAGCCTCTTCCTAATATGATTTGTCTGTGCTGGATTTACCATACATATTTGCATATAAACCAACCTCACATTTTTAACCAAAATACCATGAAAAAATATCATCTGTAGTTAAGCCAATTATAAAGATTAAAACATACAAATATGTTTAAAATTGGCTTATCCACATTTTTTTCGTAGATAGCACATTTTTTTAATTGTATTTTGGACAAAAATGTGAGAGTCAGGTTACCCATAGATGAGCTTTTAATCGTTATTACATACAGGGTACAGAGATACACAGGCACTTTTTAAAAGAATTACTGTATATAGTTGTGAATAAGTCCATCCCTGGATAAGCCAAACCCAATTTTGGGGATGTATTTTAGCAGGTAAAACTCTTGGCTTATCCACAAGTCTCTATGAGAAGTTATGGCAAGTTTATGTTCCATTTGGGTGACGGACGTTGTCTAGCCTAGTGAAAAGAAGGACCAGGGGTGACGTGATAGCAGTGTTTCAACATCTGAGGGGTTGCCACAAAGAAGAGGGGGTCAAGCTATTCTCCAAAGCACCAGAGGGCAAGAAAAGAAGCAATGGATGGAAACTAATGAAGGAGAGAAGCAACCTGGAACTAAGGAGAAACTTCCTAACAGTGAGAACAATCAACCAGTGGAACGGGTTGCTTTCAGAAGTTGTGGGTGTTTCATCACTGGAGGTTTTTAAGAAGAGATTGGACAGCCATATGTCTGGAATGGTATGGGGTCTCCTGCCTGAGCAGGACTAGATGACCTCCAAGATCCCTTCCCAACTCTGTTATTCTGTTGTTCTGCATCTCCGTCAAAGTCATCTTCCTTACTCTTTACAGCCTGTCTCTCTTCTCTCCACAGCATTTTGCCCTTTTGCTCAAATACATTATCCAAGTTGCAATTCCTGATATCCCGGCCTGGGTTGCAGAAGAGATGGCCAAGCTTGAATACCAGAGGCGAGAGGCCTTTAAGGTGAGTCTCACAAGAGCGATGCACAAATTTGTGTTATTGGTTTAGGTTTGTTTTTTGTTTTTTGAATACAGGTGGTCCTTCATTTACAACCATTCATTTAGTGGCCATTCCAAGTTACAACGGCATTGAAAGTAATGACATGACCAGTTTTGACACTTATACACTTAGGTTGTATTGATGACAGTTGTAGTGTTCCAGGGTCATGTGATCACCATTTGTAAACTTCCCAGCTGACCTCTGACAGAGTCAAGGGGGAGGGTGGGGAAGCTTAATAACCACATGATTCATTTAAGGCTGCCATGATTGGCTTAATAACTTAGCTAACTTGGCTTAGCAAAAAAGTTGCAAAGTGGAGCACAACTCACTAAACTGTCTTAGCAATAGAAATTTTGGGTTCAGCTGTAGTCATAAGGAGGACCTGCAAGCTTAATTCCAGCCTATCATACAAGGGCAGGCTAAGCTCGGCTTTTTAGAGCTTTTGTACTGCATTTGGGGCAAATTGTTGCTGTCACACCAAAACAGTGACTTCCAATCAAGAAACTCCACTCTCTGGAGCAGCATCCCATAGTAATAAGAGCTGCCCCATCTCTCTGAAAACCTAGATTTAGTCCTAAGTCTGGGGTTTGTCTAGGATCCCTGTTTGGTTTTTTTTTTATTAAAAGTTTTAAAAATTTTATACAATAAATATCCCAAATCCCTCCCCCCTCCCCCCCTCCCCACTTCCCAAAGCTGATTACAGGGTTACAAATAAACAATCATAATCTAACTAACATTACCTAACTATACAGTCAAATCCATAACATGCTTTAACTCCTTTTCAAAGTAAATATTAACAAATTAAATACAAAAATAATATAATTAAACCATAAAACTAAGAGTAATATAAATTCTACCATATTAAACTATTAGTAATAATCTGAGATTTACTCATAAGCTAGATAATACTTTTTAGCCTCATATTTATTCTGAATATAATCTATCCATCTTCTCCAAACCGAAATATATCTTTCTTGTGAATAGTCCTTCAAATAAGCAGAAATCTTTGCCATTTCTGCTAAATTAGACACCTTGAGTATCCATTCTTCCATAGTAGGCAAAGAATCTTTCTTCCAATATTGCCCCACCAATAACCTTGCTGCTGTTATAAGATTCAACATCAAATTAATCTCTTTAACATCAAAATCTACAATAACACCTAACAAAAATAATTGTGGCGTAAACTTTATCTTTCTCTTAAAAATCTTTTGAATGTTCCACCAAATCTTAATCCCAAAAGCTTTTATATTTGTACACGTCCACCAAATATGAAAATAAGTTGCATCTAAGCTTCCACATCTCCAACATTTGGGCTATAAATTAGGATACATACAGGATAACTTTTGAGGATCCAAATGCCATCTATAAAACATTTTATAAAAAATTTCTCTTAAATTTTGAGCTTGAGTAAATTTTACATTTCCAACCCAAATTGTCTCCCATGTGTCCAATAGAATCAGCTCTTGAATATTTTGAGCCCATTTTACCATACAATCTTTAACTAACTCCGTTTCAGAATCCAATTCTACTAAAACATTATAAATTCTCTTTATATGGCTTCATCCCTGTTTGTTTTTTGTCATCTGTAAAATTATTTTAGTTCGGGCTGGCCATTTGGTTTTAAGTTTCTTTATGCTGTTTTGTTACGGTTTTTCAAGTACAGGTAGTCCTTGACCTACAACCACAATCGAGCCCAAAGTTCCTGTTGCTAAGTGAGACATTTGTTAAGTGAGTTTTGCCCCATTTTACAACTCTTCTTGCCACAGTTGTTGAGTGAAACACTGCAGTTCATAAGTTAGTAACCTGGTTGTTAAATGAATCTGGCTTCCCCATTGACTTTGCTTGGCAGAAGGTCACAAAAGGTGATCACATGACCCGGGGACACTGCGACCGTCATAAATATGAGTCAGTTGCCAAGCCTCTGAGCTTTGATCATGTGTCCACGGAGCTGCTGCAACGGTTGTAAAGTGTGAGAAATGGTCATAAGTCATTTTTTTTCCCAGTGTCATCGTAACTTCAGTCACTAAATCAACTGTTGTAAGTCAAGGGTTATCTGTATGCTGGCCAGAATCCATTGGAATTGGGCAGCTAATAAATTCAAAAAAATAAATAATAATAAAAAACTAGATTCTTGGAAAGGAATCTAGATTTATTGAAAGGAAAAAAAATATAATAATAATAGTAAAGTTGGAAGGGACCTTGGAGGTCATCTAGTCCAACCCCCTGCTCAGGCAGGAAACCCTATACCATTTCGGACAAATGGCTGTACAGTCTCTTCTTAAAAACTTCCAGTGTTGGAGCATTCACCACTTCTGGAGGCAGGTTGTTCCACTGGCTAATTGTTCTGTAAGGAAGTTTCTCCTTAGTTCTAGGTTGCTTCTCTCCTTAATTAGTTTCCACCCGTTGCTTCTTGTCCTGCCTTCAGGTGCTTTGGAGAATAGCTTGACTCCCTCTTCTTTGTGGCAGCCCCTGAGATATTGGAACCCTGCTATGATGTCCCCTCTCGTCCTTCTTTTCATTAAACTAGACATATCCAATTCCAGCAGCCATTCCTCATATGCTTTAGCCTCCAGTCCCTTAATCATCTTTGTTGCTCTTCTCTGCACTCTTTCTAGAGTCTTAAAACATATATTTTAAAAAATCCTGGAAACTGGAAATGTGTATTAAAGCCTCCATTTACCAATGAGTAGCTAAGGGAGGGCCTCTATGATCCTTTTGATGCAGAGGGATATTATCTCCCAGTTGTCACAAATGAAAAGAATCTCTTCCAGCCCCGTGGTATTTTGCAGCTAGCTGCTCCCACTCCCAGATAATTCCATTTACTAATTTGCAAAATATCCATCATTATGTTTGATGTAGGAATGTGACCTTTAAAAACAATTCAAGCAGCAAAGTACGGAGCACAATGGCTGCTTATGGGATGGCACACGCTATATTCCGGAGCAAGTGTCCCTGCCCCAAACAATCATCTTTCGGAATGATAGTTTATTATAGGCAGTCCTTGATTCACAACAGTTCATTTAATGAGCGTTTGAAGTTACAAAAGCACTGAAAAAAGTAACTTATGATCATTTTTCACATTTACGACTGTTGTTGCATCCCCCTGGTCATGTGATCAAAATTCAGACCTTAGCAACTGATTCATATATGGACAAATGGACAGGACTGAGGTGAACTTGTGACTCAGGGGATACTGGAATCAATCCAGATACCCCCCCCACCCTCACCCCTTAGGTGCGACCCTATACGGGGTGATGGAGGAGTTGCACACGGGGGAGGGGGGAAGACCTTAATCCTGAATCCACTTAATCCCAAAGTTACCGATCGAATGGTGTGTGAGGGAATGCAAGCTAGGAACAAAAGAATGTGTATTAAAGGAGGCACGCTTGGGTTACATTTTGAACAGCTGGGGCCAATGATGCGCTCTAAGAGCCGGAAGCAGACGCTTGATAACAGGACGCTTGATAACGATATATAAGTCTACTCTCTATATACTTGCCTTTTAACCCTGACGATGTCAAATGTATTTTGACAAAAGCTAGGTTGGTTAATTAAATTTTATTCTCTTAAAACATTCTCTTGGTGATCATTGTTTTAATAGTATGGAAATTCCCAAGAGTCATATTTTTACTTTTATTTTTAATATATGTATGTATGTTTGTATGTATGTATGTATGTATGATTGCCGCAAGTGTGGCAAGAAAGGTCATGAAAATGGGGCAAAACTCACTTAACCACTGTCTCGCTTAGCAAACATAAACTTTGGGCTCAATTGTGGCCGTAAGTCGAGGACTGCCTGTATTGAAAATCAGGGTGATAGAGCCCTCTGCCTGTGAGTTTAACAGGTGTCAAAAAGGACAGAGAGTCTTCAGGGAAGAAAAGGGGGAGCTGTTGGAGGCTGCAATAAATCATTAATTCTTTTGTCGTTAATCCTCCCCAGAAACACGAGAGACAGGCCCAGCACCACTTCCAGCAACAGCAGCGTCGTAAACGGGAGGAAGAGGAGCGTCAGCGCCACGCCGAATATCACGCCCGGAAAGAACGTGAGAGCAGCCGGGAGGAAGGCAAGGCTAATGGTGGCGGGCAGGATTCTGGACACGAGAAGAGTCAGCCCAAAGGGAAGGGTCCAGGAGGGTCGAGCCACGGATCCGAGAAACCCAAACGGCCCAGCTCCCTCCTGGCCACCAACAACGTTATGAAGCTCAAGCAGATCATCCCTCTACAGGGCAAGTTTTTATCAGGGAGCACAGGGGCAGCTGGCCCTGGGACGGCCCGTTCACCCCAGTCCCCCACTAGTACTGATAACAAACTACCTGGGTTCCTTAGTTTCAAGTTCCTTAAGTCCCCAGAGACAAAACGGGAAGCCAACACTGAGAAGGTGCAGTCACCCACTAAGCCTTTCAACCCCAGCAAACTGTTCAACTTCAGCAAATCCGAAGGGGGCAATGGGGCATCCTCCCCGCCACGGCCCGGCCCTTCGGCAGATGCAGGCGAAAAGCCTTTGGCCAGCAGATCACATCTCAACGGGTTGGCAGATGAGGAGGTGTCTGAGGACCTGGAGATCCGAACAATGGTGGTGCAGGAGGAGGGGCTGAGCCACAAACCCTAACCTCTTGGTTGGGAGTGAGAGCTGGGGAGGGGTGGAAAGGAAAGCGGGGGTTGCTAGTTGGTTCCTCAAGCAGAATTGGGGCAGCCTCTGCCTTTCATTGGGAGAGGTCTGCTGGGTCTGTCAACCCTTTTCCAAGCAATTTCAAGGTAACCCTGGCTGAGATTTACATCTGAAAGAAAAAAACAAGAAAGAAAGTTGAAGATGGTTCCAGAGAGGTTTTCGTGGAGACTCGAGAGAGGTTTTGATGGAGGTTTGGCCTGGAGACTCAGTTCTGATACTGATGGTTACTGAGCTAAGTCAGATTTTAAACTGAGAACTCCCAAGAAGAAGGACAGCAAACTGCAAGGTAGAAGTGAAGGATATGAAGCAGAGGGTAGAGGGCGCTTCCACTAACCTTGAACAGGTTGTGTTACATGTCTTTCCCCTTATTTGGGCCAGGAAAGCATCCTGGCTCAAACGGATTTTCTAAATTTCAGCCCACATTCAGAACTGATCACATTCCCAGATGCTTCTCTGTCTTTAACACAGACGGACAAGACTAGAAAAAAAAAGTTGGTGCAATTTCCTGTTTAAGAAGTCACAACCTTTTGAAAAAACATCATTAATCTTCATTGGAGTGTTTTGACTTTCCCTCCGGAGTTTTGTTTAGCGAGAGCCCCTTCAGGTATTAGGTAGAATTTCAGCCATAGCTAGTGCAGCCTTCCCCTAGGTGTAAATATTTCTAAGAGCCACAAATACTGGAATCTGATGGGAGGAAACGTTGCATTGCTTTCCCCTCCTTCCATTTAAATCAGGGGTAGTCAACCTTGGCTCTTTTATGACTCGTGGACTTCAATTCCCAGAATTCCTGAGCCAGCTTAGCTGGCTCAGGAATTCTGGGAGTTGAAGTCCACGAGTCATAAAAGAGCCAAGGTTGACTACCCCTGATTTAAATGATAGCTCAGTGGTTCTCAACCTTTTTAATGCCGCGACCCCCAACCAGTCGTAAGTCGAGGACTACTCAACTGGTGCAGCACCGTTTGCAGAATGGGACTTTTGGCGGGCTCAGCAGGGCAGAGACAGCCTGGACAATTCCTATTGGCTTTTGAAAGCCAATAGAATTAGACTCTATTCAAGAGAGTCTATTCTATTGGCTTTCAAAAGCCAATAGAATAAAAGGGAGTAGCACAGCTAAGGAAAAGGGGGGAAAAAGGGCGGATTGCGTTGTTTGGCGACCCCCGTGAAATGGTCGTTCGACCCCAAATGGCGTCCCGACCCACAGGTTGAGAACCACTGTGATAGATGGTCCCCACGCAACCCCGTTTCTGCTTGAAGAACAGCCTTACGTGGCAGCAAAGCCGAAGAGGCTGGGAGGGGAGGGGGAAGATTGGAACCATTGTCCATGCATGATTGACATCTCTTGCACTCAAACTGAAAAAAAAAAACCACGGTGACTTTCACGTTTCGGAGACACGATTCTAAAGCTGCCGCAGTCGATCAAAAAAAGAAAAAGAATCAGGGCAAGTTGTTATTAAGAGTTCTCGAAACAAAGATCTACCACATATTTTCTTTCTACAAACTCAGTAATAAAGAGATCAAGAAATAAAGGGATGGGGGATAAAATCTAATTTGGAAGGAACTATTATTCTTTTCTTGCAATAAGGACCTTGACCTGTGACAGGCTGTGCCAAGGAGATTTTTTTTCTGAATTTGCCGCTTAATGGGGAAAGCAGATACAGGTAGTCCTCAACTTACGATCACCATTGGGATTGGAAATTCCGTCACTAAATGATCCAGTCGTTAAGTGAGCCAAGCCCTATTTTATCACCGTTTGCCATGGTCATCAAGCAAATCATACATGCCACTTCCCAAGTGCACAAGTGACTGCGAGGATGCCACAACAGTCCTAAGTGCAATGGCTAGTCGTAAGCCACTTTTTTTCAGTGCCATCATAATTCTGAACGGTTGTTAAATGAACGGCCGTAAGTCAAGGACTACTTGTAAATGGAGCTAATTTATAATGACTTCATTGAGAAATCCACGCAGTTGGCTTTGCGACTGCTGCTGTTGCTGTCTTCTGAAATACTTCTTTCAAATTCGGAGTCCAGCCTGTATGTCAAGGATTTCCTGGTCATTTCTTTAGCGGTATTAAGTGTTAATACTGCTTAGCTTTTTAAATATTTAGGTGCATCCACTTGCTGAGTTGAGAGGAGAGAGTTTAAGCTAAAAAATAAATTAAAAAATCCAGAATTCATATTCAAATAAATAGGAGGAGGGTAGGAAGAATGGAATTTTGCCATTAACTTGTCCCCAAGTAGATAATAGCTATAGTTATCACCTTCAGGAACTTTCTACCACTTTGGAAATGGGGTGGGTGGAACTTTTTTTTTATCAGGCAGTGACTACCGGTATTTGTACTTTTGCCCTGTGGCCTAAATTTCTCACAACTGGTCTGGATAGGAAGGGAGAAAAAAAAAAAATCCTCCTTTAATCTGGCAGCTGCTTTTAATATGCAAATCACTTTCCAAAAAAAAACCCCAAAACCCTGCTGTGGCTTGTTTTGTTCCTTTTCTTAAAAAGAGCAATTGAACCCGTAGCCGAAAAATAGCAGTATCTCCTGGTTTCCAGCTTTGCAGGATCTTGGAATGTAGTTTTGTTAGCAGACATGGCCTCTGCCCCCACCCCACCCCACCCCCAACACAGATCTACGGCAGCATCTCAAGTTTTATCAGCTTCCCCAAATTAAAGGAAAACTGCTTTGTCTTTTCTTTACTAGTCCAAAGGAGTCGGTCGCTTTGCAGGACGGAAAAGAAGTGACTCTAAAGGAAGGGATTTCTCTTTATCTTCTATACACAACCCCCGTCCTTCTCCAGAGCAATTTTGCCATCGCCGGCAATACATAATTGACTGCTAATATATTTGCTCCCCACAAGCCAGGTTGGAGAGGGATTTCCAGCAGGTGCTGGCCACCTTTCTGGCCTGCTCCCGAAAACGCCCCTCAGAGGATTTTCCGACCACTAAATCCTCCAAAGGGAAAGGGGGGAAAAACAATAAGCAAGTTCTGATGTCTTGTCATCCAAATCACTCCTTTGTGCGATGGGGAAGCCAAGTACTGGCCTCGCTGTATTTTCACCCCATGCAGAATGCAAAAAAAAAAAAAAAGGACTGACCTGCATGGCTTTGATGCTCAAAGCTTCCTCTTTTTTTTTTTTTTTTGTGGTGGCATCACTTTCAAGCTGTTTCGCAAGAGCAATAACACAACACTAGCAGCTACCAAGTCCATTGCTGGATGCCAAGGAAATGGCCATGAGAGAAAGACTGGTATGTTGGCTTGGACTCGTCCTGCACCCGTGTGGGTTTTTCAACGTAGCTTTTCTGTCTTCTTCTATCAAGTTGGCAGAAGAGAATCCCACTCGCAACTCTTAGCTGGGACACCAAGGATTGCTCTCTTCTCTTGGTGGACTTGCCTGCCTGCATTTCATTCCCTAGCTAAAATGGGCCACTTTCATTCTGCTGAATGGTTGGAGTACGAGATGTCATCGGGATAACCATTCCATCCTCCTGCTTCTTCACTGCCTAACCACGGAATGCATTTTTCCCAGTGACCCAGTGCTCATCAAGCTTTGCCATGCCAGCCAAGCAGAGCTTAGCCAAACAGGCAATTCACAGAAAGGCACGATTTGAAGGCACCAAGAATCCTCCCAAGCCAGATGGGATTTGAGGTGGGCAGGAAGGCTCCTTTCCCCTCCTCTCACGTCCCCCCCCCCCAAAAAAAATTTTTTTGCAGCACCCCAGGCCCAACCCAGATATTGATCTCAGAGTACCTACAAAAGCACTGGCCTCTTTCATGTCTTACTCTTCTGAGTAATTAACTGTACCAGAGGATTCGGTTTTTTTTAACTGGAGGAAAGCAAAGGGGAGTATTGTTTTTTAATTGATTGATTTGCTGCATTCTAATTTATTTCTCTGACTTGAGCAAGGAGACGAGGGTGGGAGAATCTCAGTTTCTTTTTAAGTTATTTTTGTCATATTTTTGTAAATTTGGCAGAAATGCAATAAAATTATATTTCAACAAAAGGAATAAAAGTGGGGTAGGGCAGGGCTGACACCAGCAACTTCTTCAGCATTTCTTTACACAAAGGCCTTGTGTGATAACTTTTGCTACAGAGGATACATTATAAAAAGGTTGAGGGGATCATTTATTTCATTTATATGTTGCCCATCTCACTGGGTGGCTAATCTGAAGCCTATCAAATGTGGTTTGTTTATTATACTGAGGGTTATTTAATTGTGACTTTACAAGTGCCACTCATTTTTGGCTGATCCACAGAAAATGCTGTGCCAAACTCAAGCCACATTACTGCTTAAGTGCCGTGTGTAAAAGCAACCACTGCCTTAACATTAGTAAGGCTTCAGGGAGGCTTTAAAAATAGTTTCCTGAAGTTTAATTTGATTATATGTGTGCAGAGAATATGAGAATGTGTATATATGTGAATCTATATGTGTACATATGCATGTGCCTTCGAGTCCTAGTGATTGCCTGAAGTAATCCTTGCAGTTTTCTTGGCAAGGATTTTTGGAAGTGATTTGCCATTGTCTCCTTCTTAGGGCTAAGAGTGATGGGCCCAAGATTGCCCAGTTCGCTTTGTGCCTAAGGTGGCAGTACAACAGTCTCCCATTTTTTAGCCTAGAGTCCTTAGCCACTGAACCAACTGGCTCTTTTAGCAATACAACCATGTGTTAATTCCATGTTATTGGAGTTATACTTTGCAACTGCTTAAAATAGCCTTTGGTGACCCTGATCTAGCTAAAAGTAATCTGGCTTCATATCTTGGGCTAAGCAAGGGATCTTTTTAGGGTACATTTTGAACTCTTGAGAATATGGCATGTGTTCTCACAAAATCTCTTTTGGGGAAGAGGCTGACTGCTCACAAAATGGTTGACATGAGGGATGCAAGTCCTTCATGCAAAGGCAATTTGCCATTTTTTCTGCTGGAGCTGGTACTTTGCAAGCCTGTCGTTCATTTCCTTAATTAAAGGGTTTCCTAAAAATTGTCCGATGATCCACAGAATTTTATGGGTTCTGTGAAAAGTAGTTGAGGTGTACACGGACGATCCTAGAGGTAACACCATGGATCATTTTGTTAAAATATGGCCAGATTCTACGTTTCAACTGCAAAAAAATCTGGCCAGTCACTAATTTTTGCTATAATCTACTGGTTATCTGTGTTTACAGCCCTAATCCAGCAATCCTATTTTAAGTATCAGAGATTTGTCAGATTTTGGGAGCAACAGACACAAATCGATTCACCATTTTGATTATGTTCTATCAAACTCAAGTGTTGACTTTTAGCAACCACACAGACAAACCTTCCAGAATTATCTGCCCCAAAACTGACTCTTCATGTATTATTATTCATTCATTTGGGTTCACTCTATGTAAACTCCATTCCTATTTAACAGACACTTGGGTTTAGCTGACCCCGCTTTCCTTCCATTAGTCTACACAGCTATAGCAACCTGGTTCATGTATTTTGTTGAGTCAAAACCAAACCACTCCTATTATGGCAAGGTTAAATTAATGCACAACAACCAAACCAAAAAACGAAGTCATGAGTTTCCCCGCCACACCAAATCTGATGTTCTCTCTCTGTAATTTGAAACTAGGTTCCTGTTGATTTTACACTATGTAATCTTACAGCTATGAATCAGGCAGACTATGGTTCCAGTTCCACAGTCACATATTGCCATAACTGACAAAGTTGACGTATTGACCATATATTAGAAAGGCACAGCTTGAGTTTTCAGACCACATGAAGTCCTTATACATATAAAATTCCAATCAAATTAAATTAAGTAAAAAGGTTACTTTTACTTCTACATTAAGAATTTAGAAATAGAGTAGTCTCCAGTGGGGCAGAATCCACTAAAACCAAATTATTTTTCCTAGATTACAAAGTATTGCACATGCATAATTTGAAATGCATCAATATAGTTTGCAGAATTCATCAAAATACATCATCATTTGACTTGGTGCACAATGGGAACTAGGCTCATTAGGAATTCCCCCCCCCCAATCTGTATTAAAGATGATGCTAATTTATTACTTGGCAATGAGAACAATTGCTGCTTTTCACTGTAAAAACCTAGCAGTGATTACAGCTATCACATCTAAAAAAATTATAAGGTGAAAAACGTCTATTAAAAGAATTAGGGAGTTTCAGCTGTTGAGAAAGGGCAACATAAAAAGGATGCATTTTTAAATAGAGCTAAAACATTCAGAGCTTGGAGTCCTGGGTGCAATTTATTTGATTTTTTAAAATCCCACCATTATTATTTTATAAGGTGGCTAACATACATAACGCTCCTTTCTTCTATTTTCCCACAACAACCCAGTGAGATGAATTGATCTGAGACTGGCCAAAAGTCACCCAGCCGGCTTTCATGTCTAAAGTGGGATTAGAACTCAGCTTCCCAGCACTTTAACCGCTACAGGAAACTGCATCAATAAGAGATAGCCCACAGGCCTCATGCCAACTCAGACACCACATCTACACCATCCTGTGACAGCTTATGTCAGGGATGGGGAACTATGGCTCTTTTATGACTCATGGACTTTGACTCCCAGAATTCCTGAGCCAGGGCTGGCTTACGAATTCTGGGAGTTGAAGTCCACGAGTCATAAAAGGGCCATAGTTCCCCACCTCTGCCTTATGTGAATAAGCCATTCACCAAATCCACACATTCATATCTCTCTCTCTCCCTCTCTATATATATTCTGAGGTTTTCGCGGGTGTTTGTATATAGGTTTTCTCCCGCGTAAAATTGGAAGTGTCTTGGCGACGTTTCTACGAAGTCCCATTCGTCATCTTCAGGCTGGTGTTTTCGGCTTCGTGCTTCTAGGAGCAATGTGTGATCGAAGCTGTTTCTTCCTTTTAACTGCCAGTGGGGGTATGAACTGATTGGGTGGGAGCTTGGCTGTGTTCTGACTGGGTGGGGGTGTGTTCTGATTGGTTAGGGGCTTGGCTGTGCTCTGATTGGATGGGGGCTTGGCTGTGCTCTGATTGGATGGGGGTTGGCTGTGCTCTGATTGGATGGGGGAGTGTTCTATTTGGGTGGGGGCATAGCACAGCACAGAGCACAGCCAACCCCCCATCCAATCAGAGCACAGCCAAGCCCCTAACCAATCAGAACACACCTCCATCCAATCAGAACACAGCCAAGCTCCCATCCAATCAGTTCATACCCCCACTGGCAGTTAAAAGGAAGAAACAGCTACGATCACACATTGCTCCTAGAAGCACAAAGCTGAAAACACCAGCCTGAAGATGACGAATGGGACTTCGTTGAAAAGTCGCCAAGACACTTCCAATTTTACGCGGGAGAAAACCGGAATAACCAAAGACCTACACACACACACACACACACACACACACACACACACACACTTGTCTCTAAACTAAGTCAATCTGCTTTGATGCCCAGGCGTGATGTTGCTGCAAAAAGACCAAGGGTGTGGTCACACAGCTTGCTTGCTGAAATAGCCAAAGGATATTGGCAGAGAATCACATCTGTAGCAGCATGTCAGTTACTGAAATAGCCAGTCACTATTTCATTTGCCTGAGAAATCAGAACAGTTTTCTTCGTTTGTTAGGTTCCCAGCTGACCTAAGGACAGGCGACCATAGCGAGAGGCTGCCAAACAGAAGAGGTGACTGTAGCCCAATAGACAATTACTTAGAATAAGGCATCTCATGCCACCTGGGCTTAAAATGTTAAAGCACCTCATTGCACAAAAGTGGGGTAGGAAACCCTTCTGCTTTCAAATCTATGTTCCCTCTGGATAAAAACTGTTGTGGGCTATGGAACAGGGTGAAGAAGTGGTTGGGTCCAGAGCTATTTTAAAAAGTGGGGACTAGAAGTCTGCAGAAGTATTTATAATTATTTTGACCTTAAAGATATTCGAACCTTAGAATGAGTATTCTGCACTGTACCACTCTTACCAAGAGTGTTTCCAACTTCAAATCAGATTTCAATCATTTTCAAAATCTACACTTGGAGGCTGATCTTCAAATCCAACATCCAACAGACAGACGCATGTTCTCTAACACACACACCTCTCTCTTTCAAGCAGCTGGCTGGAGGACAGGACACTGACCCCTTTACCAGGGAGCTGATTTCTTGCACAAGGGGTTTGCAACTAATCTCAGAACTGCAGGCAGCTCTAGAGAGCGATGTTGCTCACCCTTGGCCTAGAGTTTCTAATAGAGTTGTTTTTTTAAAAAAACAAGAACTCGCCCAAAGTGATGAGAAATATCCCGCTTTATTCTACTTGAAAAGTTGCACAGAACTGGTCCATCCAAAGAGTGGTGCAAAAGAGATGCCGGGCAAGCCCAAGTGGGTTTTTGCTTGCAATCTATGACCGATGTGCTAATGAGTTTCCTGGGGTGAGGGGGAGCCAGAGGGTGGGGGAGGAGGAGGCAGGCCAAAGAAGGTAACATGATAACACAACATTTGCCAGCAAACTGGGTACAATCTTCCGCTAGGGATCATCAGCTGCAGAGAGACCACCGCAAACAACCTGATCCCCCCACCATTGCTGGAGAACAAAAAATGGTATGCAAGTAGGAACACACCTGGAGAAGGATGGGTAAGAAGAAAGCCCGCCCACCCACCCCTTGCGAGTTCCTCCTGTTATCGAAACAAATGTAAGTCATGACATACACCGGTAGTTGTACAGTAATTGTGAGATGGAAATTCTCAGTAATAGGAACACAATGGGGAGGGGGTGCCGTCAGCATGAACTGAACTCCCTCGAGAGATCAGCTCATTTTTCAAAAAGAAGGGGTAGCAACAAAAGTGGATTTGTTTTTCATTTTTTTTTTTAAAAAAAAGCACTGATCACAGATTAAACATCATTATTTTCTGACTCTGAACATGAGAGCGCAAGCGAGCGCACGCATAAATAATATAAAACAAAAATGGAAAAAGAAACCTCCCCCCCACCCCAAAAATAAATATAACTGGCTTCTACAAAGTCAGAAACGGGATAGGCTGCATGATGGAGGGCGGGAGGAAGAGGCAAGGAAGAAGGCAGAGGGCTGACAGAAGT